CCTGCGTCCGACTTGGGGAGCGGGGCCAGCACACACGGTCGCTATCCTGTGACGTCTCAGACCTGCTCGGATCTGCCCCTCTGGTCTCCGTGGTTCTGATGGCAGATACCATCATGATGATGCCTCCTTCAGGCTGTGCGATACAGAGACCCCGGGTGAGGGGGAGCAACGCCTGTCTCACGTGAGAGGCCCCGAGCCTTGGTTTTTGATTTTGTGTGCTTGGCTGATAGATGGAACAATCACATTCCTGCAGGAAAAGAGAGAGAACTACCAGGTGTACCTGTCTGTTTCCGAGGGCCAGGCCCGACGACGTCTGTCTGTCCAGTGTCCAGAGCTTGTTGAGTTGAACCGGTCCAACAGGTGGTTGGCACTGCGGTGGGCCCTGGGGTTGCATGCTTGGTCTCTGGTGTCAGACAGCCCTGAGTTTGAGTCCTACTCCGCCATTCACTCACTCTGTGACCCCGGACAAGTTCACCGTCCATCGGTCTCCATTACCTTGCTAGTGAATTGGCAGTGCCTGTGGCATAGGGTTGTCTGGAGGGTGCACGGGAAGTGACCGTGACTATCCTTCTAAATGGGACAGGCTCTGTTCCATGGCCATGATGCCCAGCATATGATGTAAAGGGCTGTTGGACTGTTTACTGTCCCTTCCTTACCCGAAACTGGACTCCTGTGTGTTTGGGTTCTTGGGTGCATAGGTGATTTTATTGCTGCAATAAAGTATTGAAGACCTCCTTAGGAAAGGAGGCTGATGGCAGTGGTATCAGGCAGGAGATTCACGGTTTTACAGCTTCAGCATTTTGAGTCTCGGGTATTTCCCCAACTTCCAGGCATATCCTGGGAAAGTCTGGTCTGTGTCTAATCATTGGCACAGAATACACCCTGCCTGCATGGGGTATGTGAAGTGGGGGTGTCCCAGGCGGCCCCTTGGCTGCAGACAGCGGGTTTTCATTCTAGGTGAGGCTGAGCAGAGGTGGGTATTCTTGGTGGTCTTTCTAGCATGCTCCAGCCCATCTCACAAGTCAGAGCTTGAGCCGTTGAATTCAGACTCATAGTTCAGAACTGTGGGCTGGAACCAGGTGTTGGCAGCTGCCACCCTCAGGACAGAAGGCCCATCGCTGACCTCACAGCCGTCGTGTTAGTCATGGCATTCTTTGCTGCTGGCCGGTAGCTTGGAGAGGCGAGGTGGGCACTTGCCGTGAGTTAGATGGAGCAGCTAGCCCTGGCTTCGACGAGTGAGTTCACCAGGGTGGACAGATAGTCACCTTTCGGTCCTTGGCGGGTTTGTGCTTCTTAAAATTTTGTGTTTGGCAATGCCCTGAGGCTTATCTGTTCCATAGAGGCTTGGAGGAGCCAGCCACACGAATAGGGCATCAGAGGCTGGCAGGCGGGACAGCTGGAATCCAAGGGCGGGTCTGACCTTGGCATGCCGGCAGTAAGAGAACACGTAGTCCTGGAAGATTCCACCAGAGCTGTTCATTGGAAAGGGGACTCAGAAGATATGGGCTCCCGGCCTGAGTGATGGATGAGAGTGTCCCCACCTTGTGGATAAGATCCTGACCGCCTGTCCCTGCAGGGACCATCCCTGTGTTAGGAAGCAGGAGGGTGCGTCGCAGAGCCTCACGCAGTGGGAAGCTGTGATCCTCCTTGCTCCTCGGGCTTGGCTGTTGCTCCGGCTTCTATCTCCGCATCCTGTCTTCCCTCCTGGAGCCCGAGGACCACCCGTGTGAGGCTGTGCCGCTGGGGAAATGCCTCACACAGTGTGTCTCACCAAAAATAGAAGCAGAGCCTTGCGTCCTTGGCCGCCTTGCAGTGGGAATTCCTTCTAAGGCGCCGTGTTTGGTGATGTCCCTTCATGGATCTTGCAGGCCCAGTGAGCTGGCAGCGTCTGCGCTCACACAGGCTGGGTGGGGTTGTTGAACCTGCTCCGGGTGGATGGCACCTGCTTCCTCGGGGCAAAAATTCAGTCCAGAACATGAGCCATTCCCAGGGACGGGTGAAGGCAACAAAGCCCGAACACTCAAAACCAGGGTCAGCGAACAGGACAGTGCTTGGGCTTCCCAAAAGCCACCAGTGTCAGTATACGAGAGTCTGAAAGGACACTTGGAAGCACCTGAAGTCACTCTTGGTTTTGTTTTTATTTTAACTCTGTTATAAAATGGGGAAAATCCTTGTCACTTTCCTGCGTTCAGGCCCCCTGTGCCCCTCTGTTCAGCATGGCACAGGCACTGCAGGGTGCGGGCTGCACAGTTTCCCCGGGGGCGCTGAGGATCCTGTGGAAGTGACTGCACATGCTTCCTTCTAGGGTTGCAGACATGCTTCGTATTTCTTGGTTTTTCTGAATCTCATGGTGTGGTTCTAGACATCTTTCCAGCCCTGGAAGATGCCACACATGCTCTTGGTTATTAACGTGATCACCACCCAGCAAACTTTTGGGGGCCTGGGAATGTGGCCCCGTGTCTGGGGAGCACCGGACTGCACCTGGCTGGCTGGATAAAGATGGGGGTACCTGGAGCCTCCTGCCCTGCCAGCTCTGTGTCCAGCTGCCACCTGAACCACAAGGGAGATTACCTGGGAGCCTCTCACTTGTCAAGTCGTGACTCACTCAGATACATGTTTTATTTAAGAAGCAAATCTATTTATCAGGGAGCTCCTTTGGCCGTGTCTTCACCACACCTCCCGCTGACTTTGCAGAGAATGCCAAACTCAGAAGCCAAGTAGTAGCTTAAAGCTAGGTTCCCCACAAGGTGCATCTCGCCTGCTGGGGAGCCCACTTGGTGTGGGGCACCCCAAATAGCACAGTCTCTGGGTGCTTAGAAGCCCTGGTGAGGCTGCTGCTCCGGCTTCTATCCCCGCATCTATGGTAGATTTCCCAACGCTCCATTTTTTTTCCTCCTTACAGAAAGGGGCTGGTGGGGGCTTGAGGGATAATCCGCATGAACCCTTTACCATAAATCCTTTTAAATTGTTCACAAGTAAGAGCCTAACTTTGGAAGACCAAGGTCCTGGCGTTCTTAGTGTGAGGAGCGGGCTGGCTGAATACGCGGCAGGTTGCGAGCATTTTCCTACCTGGTTGTACTTCACTGGAGAAAACACGGGTAATCCCTGTAGCTGCTGAGGATGTGCACACAGACGGCACAGCCGTCGCCACTTTCTAAGTTTAGAAGGTACTTCACTCCTCTACTTCCCCGGCACTCTTACACCACAGTGCCCTCTCACTCTGTCCTCACACTGTCTTCCAGTGCGTGGTTCAGGCCAGCCCTTAGCCAAGGTTGAGTTAAATCATTTTCAGCTGGGCCAGGTCTTCACCAGCTTGGTGTATGCGATGCCACTCTGGGGCTGAGGTCCTAGCTTCAGGAAGAATGTGGGGATCGATTAGTGATGTCCGCCATGAATGCAGACAGAGAGAGAAGGGTTGTGCATTTACATTGCATGGTGGGAAGACGTGTGTGCACCTGAGCCAGGGAATCTGTTAGGTGTGTCAGGTGACACTTAAAACCTGAGGAATCGAGTTGTCCATTCTCGGGGAGCACATACCTGTGCATTACTGGGGCTGTAAAACGAAATCGCAGCCTCTGGGAAGCTGGACAAGGAAGTGGACACAGCATCGGGAAAGCTTCCCAGACACAACATAGAGAGAAAGCCCATTTGCCAAATGAAAAAACAGATAACATTAGAAGCAAAGCTGAGATTTCCAATAGCAGTTGCAATTTTTTAGCCTTAAAATAGTGCCACTCTTAGCAACACAGATTTTTTTTCCAAATCATGCCATGAAGCTGCTCCCAGAGCCACCCGCTCATCGGCACCCTACCCCCGTGGTCCTTGTCATGAAAGGCAGAGGGGAGCTGCCTGTTGCCCACAGTCCTCTCTGCAGCTGCTGTGGGGGTGGGCACCTCACCGGGTGCTGGGGGCACGAGAAGGGGAGTCACCGTGGCTTGCCCACTTTCCGGATCAGCCAACTGCAGAACATTTGTTGTTGTTTAGATCCCCCGTCTGATGGTTTAGAACAGCTTTTGTAACATGGTTAAACATGTTTACAAAGCAAGGGAGGCATCTCTTACCTTGACAGCATGAGGCTTCCACAGAGCGCCTTCCCCACTCAGAGCTCCACAGCCCTGTGTGCTGTGCTGGCCTGTAGACCCATCGAGGCAGCTGTAGAGGCACTTGTGTATGTCCCAGCATCTGTATCTGGTCCCCACCTTGGCCTCGTCACAAGTTTCAGTTTTACATTGTAGAAACCCAAGCCTCTGAAATACACTCTCAGCAGACCTTAGTTCTGATTCCGTGTCTGGCTTTCTAGAAATCGGGTCATGCTGGATGACAGACAGCAGCCACTTAACAGGGGAGCAGGCTGCATTTAAGGGGACGCTTTTCTGAGGGTGGTGGGGAGAAAGACCGGACCTCATGGTAGGATGGGTGGGATGTAAGTGGGGATTCCTGGAGGCAGTCGGGGCCTCAGGCTCGGCTCCAATGGGGCCCTCCTCCCTCTCCCGCCTGGCCTCTGGAGTTCGTGCGGTTTAATCTCCTCTTTCCACCTCGATCACTGTGCATGAGCTGGGTCCTCCTGCCTCCCAGGCCACCTGCAGGGCTTAGGGCTGATGAAGCCTTTAATCGCTTAGCTCAGAGGCGCTTGCTAAGCGTGCAGGACCTCTGAGTGAGGCCTTCTGTCGGGATCTTTGGAAGGCCTGCCAGGACCTCCTGTCTGTGGAAGGATCCAAGTACTTCTTCCTTCTTTTGAGACAGAGTCTCGCTCTGTCACCCAGGCTGGAGTGCAGTGGCGCGATCAATCTCTGCTCACTGCAACCTCCACCTCCCGGGTTCAAGCAATGCTCCTCTGCCTCAGCCTCCTGAGTAGCTGGGACTGCAGGCATGTACCACCACACCTGGCTCATTTCTTATATTTTTAGTAGAGATAGGGTTTCACCATGTTAGCCATGATGGTCTCGATCTCCTGACCTTGTGATCTGCCCGCCTCGGCCTTCCAAAGTGCTGGGATTACAGGTGTGAGCCACTGCGTGCGGTCCTGGATCCAGGTGCTATTTACAGTATCTATCATGGCAGCTGGTGACGGCACCCGGCAAATTCCAGCAACTGCCATCATTCCACAGAGGCTCCCTCCTGCAGGGCCGCTGCTGTGACTCTGAGTAGCGATTCTTCACGGATACAACTGCTCTGGCCGTCCTTCCTGCCCTAGTGGCCCCTAAGACTGCGACCTTGCAGGGACTTCATGGGGCAGCCCCTGCAGGAACAGGGGTGACGCAGGCACTGGAGGAGCTGCCACCCTGGGCTCCCAGCCAGGCCGGCACTGGTGTCCTGAGACTGCTGTGATGTCAGGAAACTTTCGTAAAATCTGGAGGCCAGAGCCAGTCTTTGCCTCCCATGTCAGAAATGATCGTGCAGCTGCTTTGCTTTAGGGTAAAAGCCTGAAATCCTGACAGCAACAAAATCTTTCCCCTGGGGCAGTGTGTCTTGAGCTGCAAACAACGGAAACCAATTTGGATCATTTTTTAAAAATGGAAAGTTATATTGGAAGGATGTCAGCTTAGCTCACACAGTGTCTAGGAAGACTGGAAGGTGGGTCTGAGAAACACTGCAGGCAGCTTTCTGTGGCAAGATCGATCCAGTTTCTTCTTGGTGACTGCTCAGGGGAGAACATCCCTTTTGCCTTGCATGGTGCTGAGCCAGGTCAACTCCAGGCCTGTCCGCCTGTATCCACCAAGAAAGAGCAGCTCCCCACAATGAAATGTGTTCTCCAGCATCAAGGCTAGCTGTCCAGAAAGCTTCCGGCATCCTCCCTGAGACCTACCTGCCTTAGGATCTGTGGGATCTATGGACTTTGCTTTTCCCTGGTGACTGGTTACTGTTCACAAAACTCCAACAGCTGGGCCTGGTGTTGTCTTTGTTTTCCACTGAGCATCTCTAATTTCACAATTATTTATTGCAGCTGCAGTTGTAAGCAACACCAGGCCCGGGGATGGGCATCGGCACTGACCTCGAGCTGGTGCAGAATGCATCCTGGACAGAGGGGCAGGGGCATCCTGGTGCAGGCGCAAGCCTGAAACCAGATAGTAATTGCTACCAGGGGAGTCAGCAGGGCTTCATGCCCTTCACAGTTAATGTGGGCAGGCTGTCATCAGTAAGGCACTGATGTCTTCATGATGTGTCCAGTTGCAGATCGAATTATCCTGAAATGGACAAGGCAGGTTTACTGGGGGGAGATGTTAGAAAGGAAAAATAGTGCACAGAAGGCGCCAGGGCCCTGTGACCCTGTGCTCACACCTCATGTTTCCTCACACCTCGTGGTTGCACACCGTGGTATGGGGCACCCTGAGCTCCGACTTCTGGGCTGTGAGCTAGGAAGAACAGTAGCTTTGCAGGACTCCTGTCAACCCTATGGTTTGTGAGCATGGAAAAGGCCTTTAGCTATATATGCAACGGGAAGCCATGGTTTTTTATCATAAGCCCCAGTTTTTAGGAAGCCCTCATTACATATTGGGCCTCGGGCTTTCTCCTTCCAAATTCCTAATTCTCCCACCCTGCTGGGCCTGGGAGCCCCGTTTCCTTGAAAGGGTCATATTCCATCCTAATGTATATGAATCTTAATCTAAGTGTCAGTTACATCCTAATACTTTAAAAACTTGCTCAGATTTTCAGAAGCCTGAAAGAGGTGTCAGGTTCTGTGTGAGGTAAGATGGGGGACCTTGCACTTCATCTCCCTGTACGAGATCTTCCAGGAACCTCTGCCCCACACTCCAGCATGACGGTAGGGGCAGTGGCTGCTAGACAAGGGGCTTGAATTTAAGTCCAGACTCCCTGGTGTGTGGGTGGACAGTTTCCTTCTGGGACTGAAGGAGCACGTGGAAGATGGTCCTTTCCTTTCTAGAAGCAAACCTCAGCCCTGCCCCAGCTAAGCTGTCATGCTCAGTGCCAGTGTTCTCATGTGGCGTCTGTATCCCTGCCTCTCATGCAGGACACCCGAGAGTCGTGCCCGGCATCTTTTCCTGGCACAAGAACCCACTTCCTTCTCTTTTCCTGCCTTCCGTGGAGGACCTGCTGCCAGGATTCCAGCCTCAGTCCTCAGACAGGTCTCTAGGGCCAGTCTCAGCCACGTTCTGCGTGCCTGGCCGTCAGGGAGGGTAAAGGGTGGGTTTCACCAATGAGAATGGCAGCCCGTGTCGGGGAGGGAGACGATCGCTAGGCAACCTGGAGTTTGTTACCCTGGTAACAGATCCAGGCACTGATGCTGTGGATGGACATCTTGTGACGATGGCCTCTCAGGCTCCCCAGACGTCAGCGGCGCTGGATTCCCACCTTGTGCCTGGCGTCCTTTTCCTGCATGGCTACTTTAATTAACCACTTGGATTTCTTATAATCGGGCACCCTGTCCGATAACCATCCTGCCAGCACCCCTGAAAGTGAAGTTGAGGTGTTCCTCACCCTGTGGGCACGACAGCCTGGGGGATGAGGCCAGGACTGCCAGGCCTCACAGGAGTGTGCCCTCAGACCTCAAGCAGGGGGCCGGAAGAGTCTACTGAAAAAGGAATCTTTCGGAATTTGGCAGTTGCACCATTCTTAGCAGAAAAGAGGAACCAAGGTGGGAGCCGTGCGCGTCGGTTTCCTCATCGGATGACGGGGTTGGCGGTGCCGTCGTGGACCTCGAGGATGAGCTGAGGAGGTGTCCAGCTTTCTGCTGCACACTTCGTGTCCACCCATAGGGGTCGTGGGCTGGCAAGGGTACAGGGGTGTGACCCCCGTCCCTGCCTTGTTTCCCCTGCTCTGCCGTTTTCCTGGTGCAGGAGACTGCTGCGTTGCAGGTTCATGCAGACACCTAGTACTGGGGACCTGGGTCTGGGGGTGGCAGCCGGAGTGGCCGGGTGCACAGGCACCCTGAGTGTCTGAGCATCGGGTGCAGCTGCTGCTCGGGGAGGATTCCTCCCAGCCGGGGGTGGCAGGAGAACTGCACACAGCTCGGAGTCCATGCAGGGCTGGTGGTGGTCCTGGCTCCCGCAGCCCATTCTTCTGAGGCTGGGGCAGAAGCCTTTTTTGTACTTTGCGTTGAAAGAGATAATTGTCCCAAGGCACAGTGGTGGAGCTCTGCCTGCCACGCAGGGCTGGCGTGGGTGCCCCAGGCTGTCCCTCCCCAGTACCGTGTAGAGTCTTAACAGGACGTGGACTCGGCTCCCGTGGAGGGGGATGTCCTTCCTCTGCTCCTCCCTAGAGTGTCTGGCTAACTTAATATGAGCCTTGGTGGTCCAGCAGGAGCCCCTGTGGCTGGGAACCCGATCATCCTCTCCTAGCAAGTGGCCGCTTTTGGGGCTGCTGAGAGCCCTTGAGGGAGGCTGGGGCTGGAAGGTGATCTGGCCTGTGCGGAAGGCTCCTGCGTTTGTTTCGGGAGTCTGAGCCTGCTGCTTTGTGCTCACACGAAGGCCAGTGGTCCCGAGAACTTCGCACCTTCCTGACTGGGTGACCCATGGTGGGTCACTAGGCTGGGCGCAGCCTGGCGCAGTGGCTTGCACCGTCCAGCCAGTAGAGGGAAGGAGGGGTGGAGACATAAGGCTGCCATCAGGGTTGATCTGGACATTGGAAAGCTTGACATGCCCCAAAAGCTCTAATCTGAGGCTCTAGAAAGAGTTGTAATTTGACGAGAAGAGAGATACTGCCCCTTCCTGGCATCTCGGCACTGCAGCCCCCTCTGGAGGTTAGGTGGCTGTTCTCTTGTGTCCAGGGTGTGGGTGGTGATGCTGTTGAGGTTTGGGCAGATGGCCAGGAGGACCCATAATGTCCAAAGACGGGTTTGAAGGGGGCGGTTTTTGTTGGAGAAAATGCTGCTTCTCTGTCGAAGGTTTTCAGAGTCTGCTGGGTGTGCTGCACAGAGGAGCGAGAGAAAAGAGGCCTGAGGGCCCCCGCTGCATCCTGGGCGGGCGGCAGGCAGGCTCTGTAGGGGGTCTGCCTTGTGTGTACACGGGCACAAGCGTGTGCATCTCTGCTGGGGCAGGTTAAGGCCTTCCACCACCCTGCTGAGCGAACGTCTAGATGCAGCTGCGCCGGTCCAGATGAAGTTGTAGAATTTGTACAGGGACTTGTGAGACGGACCACTGTGGGGTCACCCCAACCCCGCGGCCCTCACAACTCTCCCTTCAGAACCCTGTTGGCAGAACCAGGAAGCCTGTCGGGATTACTGTGATGGCTCTGGCCTGTCTAGAGAGCCGCTGGCAGTGCGGTCCTTTGAGAAGTTTGCTCTCCTGAGCCCCCTAAGGCATCCCTTCCCCGCCCCACACTGGCCGCTCCTCATCCAGCGCAGGTGAGAGAGGCGGGAGGAGCCTTCCCAGGGCCCTGTTTGTGCAGGGGCTCTCCAGGAAGTTCCCTCGAATACACACGCCTTAGCCCGTCGTGTTGCGCAGCTGGCGGAGGCAGAGGCAGCTGGCGTCACTGCAGGTGGGGAAGTGGGGAACCACGCAGCGCTGGGACCCGTCTTGTGCTGGACTAGCCTGTGCTGGCCTTGGGGCCCCATGCTCCTGGTGCTCTTGGGACTGTGGTTTGCTGGCAGGGAAGTGGCCACATGCATCTCCCACCAGAGCAGCAAGTCACGTGGAGTCAGGGTAGGGGCTTCCTCTTCGTGACAGTGGCTCCCAGGATGCAGGTGGAGACGGGGCTCTTGCGCTCTGCTTCCCTTGCTTGCCCAAGCTCTGCCCACAGTGACGAGTCGGGAGCTGCCCCTCCACACACCCTGTGGCCCCGGCCACCCACCCACTGTGCCCACCCCTTCCCTCCTTGCAGGTATCCGCCCCCAGATCATGAACGGCCCCCTGCACCCCCGCCCCCTGGTGGCGCTGCTGGATGGCCGCGACTGCACCGTGGAGATGCCCATCCTGAAGGACCTGGCCACCGTGGCCTTCTGTGACGCGCAGTCCACTCAGGAGATCCACGAGAAGGTGGGCCTGCCCTGCCCAGCCAGGGGCTGCGCTGAACTTGGGCAGTTTCCTCCCCAGCATGCCCCCAGGCCTCAAATCCCCTGTTCCTCCAGCTTGTCGCTTTTCTACTGAACCCTGCTTTGGGTTCAAGGGTGATAGGGCCAGGGGGCCAGGCCAGGTGGAGCCGGTGGGCTGCGCGGGGTGGGGCTCCGACCCTGTGCTCTGTTCCCACGCAGGTTCTAAACGAAGCCGTGGGTGCCATGATGTACCACACCATCACCCTCACCAGGGAGGACCTAGAAAAGTTCAAGGCTCTGAGAGTGATCGTGCGGATAGGCAGTGGCTACGACAACGTGGACATCAAGGCTGCCGGCGAGCTGGGTGAGTTGTCCAGAGCTCCACGGGCCCTGTGTGGGCGGGCTCGGAGAAGGAGCTGGAACTGGGGCCACAGAGCAGCTACTTCTGGCTGTAGCGAGATGGCGGCCTCCAGACCGGGCTGTGGAGCACGTTGCCGGTCCTGCCTTCAGATGACGCAGGAAGGATTGTCCCCGCTGGCCCTATGTGGGGTCTGCTGGGCTGTGATGCATCTCTGCCCTCAGAGCAACACCAAGCTGGCACTGGCTCACTTTGGAAACACCCAGTGCCAGTGGGCTCTGTCCTACAGAGGGCAGAATGCGAGTGGCTGCGTAGCCCCTAAACCACCCCTGCTGGTGCGCAGCATCTGGCCTAGGTCAGCACCAAAGCAGGCAGACCCCTGCCCCGCACTGCCAACGAAGAGGTTTCAGAAGGAAAGCAGAGGCAGCAGGCACGAACCCAGAGTTGGGGGGTGAAGCTGTGTATTGCACTCCCCGGGCACAAGTATATGAGGCCATGGTGAGTGGGTATCTGCCCAACACCTAGTGTGAGTTCGTGAACAGCGAGTACAGAGGCACAAGGAGCAGACCACTGGCATCGAGGGTCCTCGGGAGAGCGGGGGGCACTGTGCTTGGCCTGTGTGTTTGAAACCCGCCACCCCTGTACCTGAGGGTGGGGGCTGGACTCTGCCTTGTGAGCACTGAGGTGCCCCAAATTCATGAGGCTGCTAAGGGATGCTTCAAAACCACTGGGGACCCAGGCCTGTGGTCCTGACAGCAACCTGGGCTTGGAACAACCCTTCCTGTGCTCCGGGAATAGCCGGGGCACCCTTTCCCCCACCTCTCTCCCATCGGCTGTGGCCCCCATGGGACTCGGTGCTTCTGGGACGGCCTGGGTGTCAGATCGGCTCCATATCTGAGCGGTAGCGCTGCATATACTGAGTGTCCTGCCCTTGGGCATGGCTGGCCACAGTTTCAGGGAGGCCACCCACGTGGGCTTCAGCTTTCTCTCCATAGCCCTATCCTGGGGCTTGGAGTGTGCATGTCAGAATCTTTGTTGAGTCCCTCACCGGCATTCGGGGCGCCACCCTGGTTCTGGAAGCCCTAGGTGGGTCTTGGTGTCCAGGAGCGGGACTGGGGAGCCGGGCACAGTAGGGCTGCCCATGCACTCAACAGGGGTCAGGATGCAGTGGTGTGGGGCTACCCCAAGGGACCCTACCTGTAGGGTCCCAGGAGCATCAGCTTCACAGGTCACCCCTCACCCCCTGCCCCATGCCCTTACTTGTTCCCACCCACCACATCCTTGAGTCCCTCTCTGCTAGAACAAAGAAACTCTGGAGGATATATGAGTCTTCAAAAGCCTGTTTAATATAAACTAAAATTTTCCATCATTCCCTGGCACAAACAAGGATATTTTTGTTTGAAAACAAACGTCCTTTGTGCTCTTGGTAGAGCTGAGATCCCAAGTTTGAACAGCGGAGGAGAATGCAGCTTCATGTGCCAGGGGCTCTCAGATGCTTGTCCCCTGCACGTCTCATGCTTCTCCAGCACGTCTGCCCCTCACACAGCTCCCGGGCCCACACGGTGCTGACCCTGACCTTCCTCGGCCAGCCCAGCCGCTGCTTTCCAGGGAGAGAGGGGAGGTCTTTCCTGTGGAACTTCCTATTCCTCCAGTTCCGGGAGTGCCCCACACAGGCACTGCAGCCAGAAAGGAATCAGGCCCTCGATTGCGGGGTCCCGGGAGGGCTGAGACGGGAGGTTGTGTTCGCCGAGGCAACTGAGACCCACGGAAGACAGCCAGGACCAGGGCCTGCGGCTGTGGAAAACGTGGAAGGGCTGTGAGTGGTGGCATTTTCACTGATCCCGGTCCCATCTGATAAGGGTGCTGCTTGGAAGACAGCTGCGGGGCCCTTCTAAAGGGCACTTTTCAGATGCAGACTCTGGAGGCAGAAAGAAGCCTCTGTCCAGACGTCCTTTGTCTCCAGATGCATTTCCCGCATCATGCGGTCAGCGGGCCTTTTGTGAGGCAGGCTGCAAGCAGCAGGTGGCTGCCCTCCTCCTGATGAAAGGGGGTCCCTGGAGCCCAGAAAACAGGGCCCTCCATGTCACAGGAGGCAGCACGCTGGGCCTCTGGCGAAGCTTCCTAGGATGACCAGGCTCTGAGCTGCCAGCCCTGGAATGATGGGCAAGAGTCAGCCCTTCACGGGAAGAGCGGGACAAGGCTTGAGGAAGCTGCGCTTCTCCCCACAAACCAGGAAGACACGAGGGGAAGACCTCGAGAGGACCCTCCACCCTGGTCCCCTCCACCCCCAGCAAGCTTGTTGATCTGGTTTCCGTGCCAGTAGCAGCCGTGAAGGGAGTAAAGCGCCATGGCACTGACCAGGAGAGGACAGCGGCGTGCCTCTTTGGGGCCATTTTTGGGGCCCTATGGATGCTAGGAGGCTCAGCCTGTGAGGATCAGAGGCGCCCGTTGTGTGGCATTTGAAGGATCAACTTGACCCATCTGGAAGGGAGGTCGCATCCATGGCGCTGTGTCGGACAGTTTAGAAGACACTCCCTCCGCTGGGTCGATGAGGTTATGGATGTTTCTGGCGGGGCGCTGCGGCCGTCGCGGTGGGAAGGTTCTTCAGCCCAGGCAGTGCCACAGTTCTTCCTCCTGCGCGCTGTCCCAGGCCTGGGACGCCACACTCTCATGAGGACTAGACCTCCAAGTACTGCTATGAAGACACACTGGTGTCCTTCCTCAACCTCCTTTTTGTGCCACCCCCACCCAGGTGCCTTCACGCACATGGCCCTGCGGGACCCTCCGCCGGCATCAGCTCTTCTAGAAGAACCCGCTGTTTGAGCCCGTGTCCTTGGAGGGCGATTCTGCTGCGGGGCCTCCCTGCTGGGCTTCAGCCCTTCTGAGGAATGAAAATTCTCCCAACTGCCAAAGATTTTCTTTAACCTCTGGCATCGGCCTCAGTCTATCTGACTCTAATAATAACATGGCATGTGATCAAGCCCCAGATTCTCTGCTATTTCAAATGAACGAGGCCCATTTCCTGCAGGACTCCTGGCATCCAGCTCATGGGAAAGTTGGTCGGCCTCAGTCACAGTCAATCACACTGTTCCCTTGGCAGGTGTCTGTGGCCCAGCGGAGTCCCCAGTGGCCACGTGGGGTGGGTGGGTGACCTGCTCACAGTGGCTTCACCTTCTCTGAGCTGTGTGTCCTGCTGAGGGGGGTCACTCTCAAGACCCTAAACGGAGGGCCGGCCCTCGCGGGGAGACAGCCACGCAGCTGCCTAGAAAGTGGGTTTGCGGCCCCACTGGTCCTGCTTCCTGTCCAGTAGAGCCGAAGAAGCTGCTTTGGTGGTTTCTGTTCCCACCCCAATCATCAGGATTTAAGAAGATAGAGGAATCCTGGGCTGCCTTAAAAGTGGCCCTGCCCCAGTGCCATGGGCATCCCTTGTTGGGAGAGGTACTCTTCTAGGGGGTCCTAAACGTGGAGTTAAGAGGGAACCTTTGGACTTGGGCTGACATGCGGCCCAGATATCCACCCCCGTCCTCAGAGCGCTCAGCTGGGAGCCACAGGCTGGCCACCCTCTGGGGCCCACTCCTGCTCGGCCCCACTGCCTCTGCTGCAAGTAGGCGGACCCATCGGGTGGCAGCGCTGTTCCCAGCCTGGCCCTCTGCCCACCTATACCCCAGTTGTATCTGGCAGACATGCATTCTTCCCCAGACACCCTCTGGCTAAGGAGGGGAAATGTCCGGGCCCTTTCTGCTTATGATTTACTTGGGTTAACTCTCCATGCCACAGCTGCCTCGCGCTGGGAGATTCTTGACCTGGTTTCTGCAGCTTGTGTGGGGCCAGAGGGCTCACCCCAAGCTGCCCTCAGCACTGAAGGCTGCTCCACGGGGAAGGGAGGGCATCCTGTCCACTCTGAGTTCTGAACGCCGGAGCAGGTTGCTGAGCACGGGGCCACAGGACGACTGGGCTCCCTTCGGACGTCAGTTCCGTGTCGGGCCAGCCCTTGCATCCATGTTGGGGTGGAGGTGCTTTTTTAAAACAAGTAATAATGTATGTTTTTTGCATCAAACTGTTACCATACCTTAAAACTAAAAGCCACTCTTTGTCACCCCTGCCAGTTCCATGAGGAAGACCCTGGGGGCCGTGAGTCTGATCGGGGTGGAGGAGTCTGGTCTTGGGCCCCCTGGCGTCGGGCCATGCCAGGTCCTTTTTTGGGACTCATCATAAGCCTGAGAAGAAGCTACTCACGTGGAAGATCAGCCAGAGGAGTTGGGCTGGTCATGAGCCACGTCCTGGACTGAAAGTCCTCCTCGGGGTAGATGTTGGGGCTAGAGCCTCCCGGGCATCAGGGGCAGAGGGCCTGCTGCCCACTTGCCCAGCCCTGTGTCCGCTAGATGATAAGCCCTCCCCCACGCCAACAGCCTTGCCTCATCAGGGCTTGGGGTTTCCTCATCTCCGGCCTTGGCCTTGTCCCTTTCAGGAATTGCTGTGTGCAACATCCCGTCCGCAGCCGTGGAAGAGACAGCTGACTCCACCATCTGCCACATCCTCAATCTGTACCGGAGAAACACGTGGCTGTACCAGGCCCTGCGGGAAGGCACGCGGGTTCAGAGCGTGGAGCAGATCCGTGAGGTGGCCTCGGGAGCAGCCCGTATCCGTGGGGAGACACTGGGCCTCATCGGCTTCGGTACGTGCCACCCTCCACCCCTACCCCCAGCCCCTCCGACACTGGCGCTGGGGCGGGGGGACCCCTTGGCAAGGGCAGCCCCAGGGGAGGCAGGGCCAGGACCCAGTGTGGCACAGGAGATTGGAGTCAACGCCTGTCAGGGAACTTGCCCCAGAGGTGGGATTTGGGCTGGTTCTGGAAGAACGAGTGTCCACTGCTGTCTGTGGCGTCTGGCAGGGCAGCATTCTCTGCTGTGGGGCAGCAGGCAATGTACTGTGCCCACTAAGTTTCCCTGGGCCAGGGTGAAGGGCAGGGGCTGTGTGGAGGTGTGTTGTGGAGAAGCAGGCAGGCTTGGGACTCAAGTGGGGGCTGGCGGTTCCATGAAGACCCAGGCTGTGGGCACTATGGGCACGGCCTCACTCCTGAAGGCCCTCAAATGCCAGGTTCGGGTGGCAGAGTCAGGCCATCAGCTTGGAAGGTGCTCCTGAAAGGGGCGGGAAGAGGCTCTTACCATGGAGATGTGTTGGGAGAGGCCACAGGAGAGCCTGCAGCAAGGTGCGGGGGGCCGGCACCGCAGAGAAGGCGATGGTGAGCAGCCTGGTACCACGGAGGCTCGCAGAGGGCCCCGCCCTGCCCACCACAGGTCCATCTGCCTCTTGGGACTCTAGGAAGGAGTCTTTGCACACAGGCAGGTAGTGATGTTCTGGCCTCCTGGAAACTCCCAGCTGCTGCTCAGCCTCTGCGTGGAGCTCCACGCCGCCGATGACGAAGCCCCCAGGCTCCTTTCCCCACAAGCCCCGCTCTGGACCTGGGTGCCACTTGAACAAGAGAGAAATTGCTGGACACGTCCAGGAGTGCACTCTTTCCGTCCCCTCTACAGGCCGTGATCTCCTGGGTCTGGCCTCGCCTGACGCCCAGGTTCTAAGTGCCAGGTGCTGGGGTCTTTTAAAAGGACCCACCGTGTTTTGAGGTTATTAGAAAGGCAGACGTGGTGTGTGAATACCAGGCTTCCTCTGTCCAGGCCCTGCTGGGCTTCGTGGCTTGGAGATGCTGCTTCGTCTCCATCTTCATGCACTCTGAAGCTCTGTGGTCTCTGGCCAGGCAGCAGCGCCTGTGGGTGGTGGTGAGCCCCTGGCTGCGTGGTGGGGCCTCACTAGGGAAGTGCTTATCTCAGGGACTTCTTCCTGGGGTCGTTCCTGTGGCTGTGCCCATGTCACTCAACTTTAAAAACCTTCTCAGTGTATGAAAGCCAGTTCAGCCCGTGCTGCCATCCCATTTTCAAGACCATACACTAACCACTGCCTCCGCCACCCTGGGACCCCAGCAAGTGGCCTGTCATTGTCTCTCCTGGCTCCCTTTCCGGATCTCTAGCCTTCAACACTGTCACTGCCACAGCCATCCTTGGGCTAAGACCCTTTTCTGGCCTCGGGTTCCACTGAGCAAGAGTCCCCAGGCCCAGCTGGCTCAGTGCAGCAGGCCGGGGTGGGTGGCCTGGGGTTGAGGTCATGGACAGAAACCGAAGAGAAGGCAGCCTATGGGAGCTGTGCTTTTAAAAAGTTGGGAGGGGGTGGCTGTGGGGGGTGAGTGGGCTCTCTTCTATAGGGACTGGGTTTTGATTAAGTCAGTAGCACTATTGCCATTACGTTGTCAGAAAATCTCATGGATAAAGTTCAAGGGTGTTGTGAACTTGGAAAAAAACAAACCCAGAGAAACGGCACTCAGCCCCAGTCAGCATGGTTGAAATATGGGCTTGGTGCTCTGGGCTGCCTTTCTACAGGCCCTCAAGGTCCTGGATCTGCAGAGGGCGAGCCACGTTCTGGGCACAGACGTCATAAGGGGGATGGAAGCTGCAGGAACAGGGAAGGCAGGCGGGGACCTTCGGAGTGTGAGCTCCCTGCAGTTGCATGCTGGTTCCTCTGTCTCTTGTTCCCAGAGCGTCAGAGAGCCATCTCACTCTAGTCCCTGCCACCGGCCAGCACTGACACCGATAAGGGGTGGCACCATGGCTCGTGCCTTGCCGTACTAGTTGCTCTGCAGCTGTCCCCGATCAGACTGGCCTCACTCAACCTTTGTTCCAAACTACTGCAGTTGTCCTAGCCATGCCATCAGTTAGGTGGAGCTGCTGCAGGACGGGGAGCCGTCCAGCAGCAAGATGCCCCAGAACACAGGCGGCCTGTTCGGAAATGCACAGCTTTGTCCTTTCTCGTGCCCGCACCTTGGGACCATGGGTTTAGATAAGTACTCCTTCTGTGACCTCCAAGAGAGCCCAGTCAGATATTACACAAACCATTTTGTTTTCAAAATGCTGAAAACTGCTCCGGGAAGCCGGAGGTGCTATCAAGAGGATCCCATGGGTTTCTGAAATGACAGCTGCTGGGGACAGTTCCTCGTCCTGTGACATAGCTGGCAGGAGGCCCAGGCTGCATGCTAGAGGTGGGGCAGGCCCCACCAGTGGGATGAGTCCAGGCCTGATGGTCACGTGCCCTGCCCAGAACACAGTAGCACACAGCCACTCTGCACTCGGGCTGGCCTGCAGGGAGCCACTGTGCTTTAATGGAGCAACCCCGGAGGGGATAAGGCAGGACGTCACTCCCGATTACATTGAGAGCAATTTTTTTAAACCCAACCTTGTATTAAGAAGCCTGCAGTGCACACGAGAAGTGGAGAGAGGAATGGGAACGGAGGACATGGGTGGTGATGGGAGGGGCTTGTGGGCTTGTTAGAACATTCTAATTGTTTGAAAATGTCAGTAACAAGGATGGGTTTGTTTTGCTTTGTTTTTAACAAAAATCCTGCTGTGGCCAATCTAAGCAGCCAGCGCTGATACCCCTCCATCAGCCCTGGGGGCCCCTCGAGGGCAGTACTCACACCTCAGGCTTTGGGCACAGAACTCCAGCAGCAGCTTTTAGTGGGGAGGGCAAGCCCGGACTTGGTGCAGAAGCAGTAGAGGTGGCAGCGCTGGGCCGCAGGCTGTGGACTCACTCACCTGGACGCTCTGTTTCTGCACAGGTCGCACGGGGCAGGCGGTTGCAGTTCGAGCCAAGGCCTTTGGATTCAGCGTCATATTTTATGACCCCTACTTGCAGGATGGGATCGAGCGGTCCCTGGGCGTGCAGAGGGTCTACACGCTGCAGGATTTGCTGTATCAGAGCGACTGCGTCTCCCTGCACTGCAATCTCAACGAACATAACCACCACCTCATCAACGACTTTACCATAAAGCAGGTAAGTGAAAATAGATGCCGTGGAAGCTCTGTCAGAAGGTGGTGGCACCCGCTGTGGGCACAAGAGGGGACACGAGGGCAAGGGAGATGGTTCCTGGACACACTGTTGAGCAGGGAAGAGGCCCTGCAACAAACCAGTGACGAGCCGGGTGAGGCCCCTTCCTTGGGCTGAGCCAGGCTAAGCAGAGAGGGACAGGCGCTAGCCAGGACCCAGCTTCAAAGGCTTCCTAGAGCCTTCAGAGGCCAGCCACCTGGCACAGTCCAGCCTTTCCACTGTGTGGCTTCCTCTCAGGATCAGCAGAAACACCCTGGCTTCCAGCCAGCACCAAGACTTCATTCATTCCCATCCCTCAGACTGCAGCACGCACATTAAGCCACGAGACCAACAAAACTCCTAGCTTGCAGTTTTCTTCTTTAAACCTTGATACAAGAGTCTTCCACGCCAGTGTGCCTGTAAACCAGCTTTTCTTTCCTTCCACAGATGAGGCAGGGAGCATTCCTTGTGAACGCAGCCCGTGGTGGCCTGGTGGACGAGAAAGCCTTAGCACAGGCCCTCAAGGAGGGCAGGATACGAGGGGCAGCCCTCGACGTGCACGAGTCGGAGCCCTTCAGGTGTGTGTTGTCTTCGCCTCCTACCACAGCCCACGGGGCCCAACTCCATGTCTGACCCCCACACTGTGAACTAGAGGCCCTTTTCCCAAACAGGCCCCTGGGCAGGAAATTCCGGAAATGACACAGTCTCTGTTCTTCTAAGGACTGTGCTGTATTCTAATTGTTAAAGGGCTGGAAGGTCCACAAAGGTCATCGGGGAAAGGAGAGGCAGGAAATTGGCGGTGATGGTGCTTCTGGTGTTTAGACAGACAGGCGTCATCTCTGCCCGGGATTAGAGCAGGGCAGGCTTTCAATACAATTGGGGTTTTTGATCTACCAATTATTACTCACACTGTTCTTACAGAATTTTGATAATTACGTTCAAAAATTCCCAGCCTTCATAAAGTGTGATCACCGACGTGCCTGTATCCACGCTGTCTACGCAGCTGCTTTTCTACATGGCCAAGAGCCCCCTCGTGCTGAGGAGGTCACGGAGTGTATGTAACGTTTCCCACTTACTGGGTTTATTTTACATTTTTCTAGCTTTGCTCAGGGTCCGTTGAAAGATGCACCAAATCTCATCTGCACTCCTCACACTGCCTGGTACAGCGAGCAGGCGTCGCTGGAAATGAGGGAGGCAGCTGCCACCGAGATCCGCCGAGCCATCACAGGTGAGTCCCTCTGTGCCTCTGACTTGCCAAGGGCAGCCTCAGCTCCACAGCACAGCCGCCTCCCTTCCCGTTGGCTACAGGCGGCTCGCAACAGGTAGAATTCACTTTTTTAGCATCAAATGTGTATGAGCTGGGCCTTGTTTATTTAAGTAAGCCCTGAACTAAACTTCAGACCATTCCCTTTAGTCCCAGACATTACAAACTCAGGAGTGGGGGACAGACGAGGCTGAAGGTCATTGTTGAAGAGCTCAAGGTTTAATGGTTTTACAAATGTTTAAAGTTGTTTCCCCACATAAGCAGCCACATGTTGAACTTACTGTGACTTGTAAAAATAATATGATTAATCATCTTACCCTAGGTCGCATCCCAGAAAGCTTAAGAAACTGTGTGAACAAGGAATTCTTCGTCACATCAGCGCCTTGGTCAGTAATAGACCAGCAAGCAATTCATCCTGAGCTCAATGGTGCCACATACAGGTGAGAAGAGGAACTGACTGTCTCAGCCTGTGAGCGCCACACCCCGGGGCCAGGGAGAGAAGCCCAAACTTGGCGGAAGCCTCCCACCTGCGGATGCTAAGGCACAATCAGAACAATTGGCCCTCTCGGCGGGAACTGTGTACACTGCCCCCTCAGGTCTTCCACTGCCTGATTTCCATGGAGCAAACAAGCTCCTATTTTAAAAGGGGTGGGTTCCGTCAGATGTGATTGACCGTGGATGCTAGGAATTGCTTTTCATTCTAAAGCCATCTTAAAACCAAAGGCTTCTCAGCCAGGAGCAGTGGCTCATGCCTATAATCCCAGCACTTTGGGAAGCTGAGGCAGGTGGATCATCTGAGGTCAAGAGTTCGAGATTGGCCGGGCCAAATGGTGAAACCCCGCCTCTGCTAAAAACACAAAAATTAGCTGGGTATGGTGACACATGCCTGTAATCCCAGCTACTAGGGAGGCTGAGGTGGGAGAGTTGCTTGAACCTGGGAGGCAGAGGTTGCAGTGAACCGATTATCACCCACTGCACTCCAGCCTGGGCCACATAAGACTCTGTCCCCCATCCGCACCCCACCCCCCCAAAAAAAGGCTTCTCAAGGAGAAAGGTATATATAGATAAGATGCTCAATCCCGTGAACAAGTTCATTTTCTAACTTGAATCTTATGTCCGTGGGAGGCCTCCTGGCCAAGGAAGGTACAGTCAACTCAGGATAATGACCTTGTCCACATACTAAGAATGATACCTGTAGTTTGGGTCAACAGAGAAACTGGAGCAGTGTTAGGGAGTGCAGAGTGGGTTAAAGACAAGAGCCCTTACAGGGAGAGATGGTTTCTTTTCTGGTATTTTCCAGGCACGAATTGGTTTTCTCCTATCCCTCATTATTATTGCTGGGTTCCCAGGAAATCAATAGTCCCCTCATACATAAATGAAAGAAGCTGCAGCTTTGAATCTTAAGAAAAACGTTTGCATATTCAAACCAGGGATTCCAGCTCTTGGCAATAGACACGCTTGGGGCCAGATCATTCTCTTCATTCTCCTCATTCTCCTGTAGGCGGCCCGGCCTAGTCTGTGCATTGTAGGACAGTTGGCAGCATCCCTGGCCTCTGCCCATGAGAGGACAGTATCACCTCCCACCCCACCTCAGGATAATTAAAAATGCCTCCAGACACTGCCACATGTCCCCTTCTGTAGCCACAGTGACTACCAGGATGCATTGTGCAGTGAAGGCTCCGACACTGAAGCAGCTATGCTGGTGTGTACAGGTCACGTGGCTGTCTTCACATTTCAGCAAGTCCCATCCTTTTGGCCCTTAGAAGTATTTTCAAGTATTACTGAGACCATCACAGCACCAGACTCCCCGGTTGGATGGAGTTGGAGGCCTGCCTTTTCATGTCTCCACTGTATTTATTCCTTCAGATAAGCCGAGGCTCGTAGGCCCCCCTAGAACAGTCTGTGTGCACTGAGGAAGCTGGAAGGGACCTACTGACCAGAGTCCTTCTGAAGGTCTTGGGGATTTCTGACTGGTGGTGATAGGATGGCAGGCCCAGGAGCCGGGGTGGGGTGGCTTCCTCCGTGAGATGCCGCCGCCTCCACCTTAATGTTGAAGGCTTTGGGAACTAAGTCTGTGTGAATATGCTGAGTCCCACTTTGCCCAGAGCCCCTCTGTTCTGAGGGTGGTGAATGCAGTGTGTCCTCACACTTACAATAGAAAACCAGCCTGACCCTGGGCATTCAGAAGAAGCCAGGCCTCCAGCCAACAGCCAGCACACCCTTCCAGCTCAGGCCACAGGAGTGCATAACAAACCAGCCTAGAAAGCTGAGCAAGTTCTGGTTGCTTTGTCTGAGTAGCAGAGCCTGGGTGGCTTGTAAACCACAGAAAGGTCTCGCTTGCAGTTCTGGAGGCTGGAAGTCAGATCAGGCTGACAGCATGGTCAGGTTCTGGTGAAGGCCAGGCAGCAGACTGCCAGCTTCTTCCTGTGTCCTCATACCATACGGCAGAGAGGGGGCCAGAGCACTACCTGGGCTCCCTTTTTTTTTGAGACAGTCTCACTCTGTCGCCCAGCTGGAGTACAATGGTGCAATCTCAGCTCACTACACCCTCCACCTCCAGGGTTCAAGCAGTTCTCCTGCCTCAGCCTCCCAAGTAGCTGGGATTACAGGCACACGCCACCACCATGCCTGGCTAATTTTTGTATTTTTAACAAAGACAGGGTTTCTCCATGTTGGCCAGGCAGGTCTTCACCTCCTGCCATCAGGTGAGCCACACTGGGTTCCCTTCTGTGAGGGCACTAATCCCATTCATGACCCAGTCACTTCTCAAGGGCTTACCTCTTAAGGCCAAGAATTAGGGAGATGGAGGAGAGACAGACATTCAGTCCCTCAGAGTGTATTGTGCTCTGCTGGGAAATCATTTTATCAGTCAGGAGTAACACTTCCATTTTGTACAAAGTGTGTTTTTTAAACCGTATAGTATCCACATTCATACTTAGTATGGGCTAATATCTTCCTGTTATCTAAAAGCTACGAAATTAGTGGCCCCATGTTTGGATTGGACTTGTTTTGTTTTTATGAATTAGCTGCCAGTGTTTTATATAAAGATTAAGATTTCTTCTATCCTTTTGGGGATAGGGAGGATATCCCAGGACTCTGGGAGGGGCTGAGGTGGGGGGATCACTTGAGCTCAGAAGTTTAAGGCCAGCCTAGGCAGCCTAGAAAAACCTCATCTCTACCAAAAAAAATACAAAAACTAGCCAGGCGTGATGGCTTATGCCTCTGATCACAGCTGCTTGGGTGTCTGAGGTGGAATCGCGGTCAAGGCAGCAGTGAGCCGTGTTCATGTCAATGGACTCATGTCTCAAGAAAAAAAAACTTTTAATTGAAAAAAAGGCCAGAAGTAGGGAAAGAGCCGAGAGCTTGGCAACTCTACCCTGAACTTAAAAGACCCTGTTTCTGTGTGTGCCTTAGATATCCGCCAGGCATCGTGGGCGTGGCTCCAGGCGGACTTCCTGCAGCCATGGAAGGGATCATCCCTGGGGGCATCCCAGTGACTCACAACCTCCCGACAGTGGCACATCCTTCCCAAGCGCCCTCTCCCAACCAGCCCACAAAACACGGGGACAATCGAGAGCACCCCAACGAGCAATAGCAGAGAATGCCGGAAGGTAATCATTCAGATACACTCGGGACCAAGAGACAGTGAAAAATAGATGAACTAAGAGAAGAAGAATCTGACGGTCTTTGTAACTGATTCTGGACATAGGCATCATTGATGTTGCAGTGTTAAAACTACAAGAGCTAGAAAAACTGAAGATGTCGTCTGCTTACGGAAGCGCTGAAAGACTAGGATGTGATTTATTAACGACCAACTTCTGTTATTGTGTGTTAAGTTTTTCATCTGTGCATCAAATCACAAAGAATAAATAGAGCTTTTTCCTTTATCAGTCCCTTGGGCACAGCAGGTCCTGAACACCCTGCTCGAGAATGTTGCATCAAGAGTTCAAACATCCAAATAAAAAATATTAAGAGGAAATCCCCATCCTGTGACTTGAGTCCCTTCAGTCTACAGGGGCTGGTTACCTCTTTTTGCTAATAGGAAGATCACATTACTACCAAATGGGGAGAAAACTGTTTGCCTGTGGTAGACACCTGCACGCATAGGATTGAAGACAGTACAGGATCCTGTACAGAGAAGCGTCTCTCACAGCTGAACTGTATACTGAGCGGGCAAGTTGGTTGTAAGTTAAGTAAAACCCTCTGATGATGCGTAGTAATGAAAAAAAAAAAAAAAAGTATTAAGTTTCACAAGCTGTTTGTACTCAAATATATTTTCTCAGTTTCAGATCCTCTGCTATTTTATTGAGTGGAAAGTCTTGAACATAAAAGGGTTCAAGAAGAATAATGTTGCATTTCCTTATGTCTCAGGAAACACTTTTTATGGTAACTTGTCAGATTGTCTATGAACAAACCCACTTTTTTAGACATTGATAAAGTCTTTTTTTCTTCACGTGATATTTTATACAAGAACACTTCAGATGTATTAGATGTGACTGATTTTAACAAATCCTATTAGATTTGTATCAACTAGTTACATGTTCTATTCATAGTCTTTTGTGAATCATTGCCTTTTTGTTTAAAAAGATGGCCTATTTTGAGCCTTTGTATAGGTACATTCCTGTTTTTGTGACAAAAAAAAACTTTAAAATTGTCCCAAACAGAAAAATAATGGCTATCAGAAGTATGTTTTGTTTTAGTGTGAGTTACCGTTACTGTATTTGTTTATTGTAAAGGTGGACATTTAGCGTTCAGTGCAGTTTTCAATAAAAAGTAATTAAAATTTCTGTTAAGTTCTGAAATTCAAGTACATCTCACTAAAGTAAAAGTTCTCTACTTGAGATGTTTAAGGTAACTGCATTGTCAATTAGCCAATTTCCAACTCTTGTTACTCCAGGGTTCTATCTGCAAATTCCATAACGAGACTCAAGAACGCTGACAATTACCTCATGTAATAGAAGGTTTAATTGAAAAAACAAAACCTCACAGAAGTCCATCATTATCAAGTCATGCTATCTTGGTGTGTTTGTTAGAGCTAAGTCAATTCAAAAAACAAAGTTGCTCAACTTCAGAGTTTTGATTTTAATTTACCCCAAAGCAAAATGACCTGGACCTAGTTCCAGGGAGGGAAGTGAACCTTGAAACTGTTTTGCCAATAACCTAACAAAATGATATTTACAAAGAAGTGTTGCAAAATAGGTAAGAACTTGAAGATTTAATGAATCTGCTTTTTAAATAGCATTAAACCTTTATAGTAAAGTGTCTGCAAATGTCAAGTCCAGCAATTCCAGGTATCAAACTCCTTCTGAGCTCTTCCTTATACTTCCCTTCCCATTAAAACAACACCAACCCCTCACCCCCCCCCCCCCCCAAAAAAAAACCCATGGTGTCTTAAAGCCTTCAGCCTGCCTGGCCGTGTCTCCTCACTCATTTTTATGTGGTGGCCCCATCCCAACTCTACCATAAAAACACATTAAAACAACCTCACATGGAGAGAGATGGCACTCAGAGTTAACCTGTTGGCCCCAGGGAACAAAAAGGTAGTTTAATGTCTTCATAACTACTCATCAAAGAGGCAGTGAAATATGCATGAAAAGGAGGGCCCAAGCACGCAGACTATCTTACCTTCGCATATGTGAAGAAGTCTGGGACACGATGAACCTAAGAATCAAGAACAAAAAGGCAGGTCTGAATCCACGGTCAACCTGGGTTTTGTTTAATTAGATCTTGTTGCCCAAACAAACAAAAAAAAAATATGTGTGTATATATATATATATATATTTTTATAAATTTGACTCCAAGGAAGAACAGGTCAAAACAAAATGCCACGCTGTGTATGCTCTAGAAAAACCACAAAGTTCATAGAGTTAAGGTATTACTATCCAGTCAATCAAGACGTTTATGTCTATCACCTAGCCACGTATAATTTTTGAAAAGGACTATATTCTATCTTGGGACAATAATTATGGCTCTTTAATAGTTTAAGAGCATAATATAGCATTGATTTACCAAAAATTTTGGCCTTTAACAGCCAATCTATGAAAACCATTTAAAGTCCCATTCCTGTCTGTAGCCTCGGAAATGGAACCATCTATAATTCTTCCCACAGGGAAGAAAGATGCACCTATCACACTATGAAGTCAGGGTTACGGATAATAAATAAATAAATAAATAGAGCGCTCGGGAAACACCACTCACCACAACACACGGTAGAAGCTATGTACTGAGCGTGTGCTCTCTGGACAACGTTGGCTGCAGTGTAGACTGCAGTGGCTACATGCTTTTCCCTCTAACAATTCTCTTTGGCTTCTTCAATTGGGAGGGCAGATTTTGCTTAACAGGCAACTAGAACAGGATCTCTGCCCACTAAACAATTATCCCTATACATAAAGTTACTACAGATGCTAAGTAATCAGAGTGCTAACATTTTCTAAAAACTTGATTAACTAATTATTGACCAAAATGAAAGCAAACCATGTAGTCAATTTTTAAGAAAACATTAACCACTTGAAACGGTAACATTTACATTATATCAAAAATTCATTTATATGGAATCATAACTACAAAAATAATTTTTTCCTGCAAGATTTAGCATGCAGCAAAAATGATCTTTTCATCCTGGGAACACCTCTTTACTGAGTTTTCAGAGGGGAGAAGAACTAAAGACATGACAGTTTCGTGGGTATTTTTCTATTTTTAGTATCATTCTGGCAGCAAATTTGAGGCTGTACACATTTCATTATCAACTAAACAAAACAGGAAGCGAGCAAATACTTTAAGGTTTTCGCAGCCTTTTCATCACAGGGAAGAAAAAAAAATAGACGTTTGAGTATGTCTTCTTTCCAAATTCCTGGCCACATCAATTGTCTAGAAAGTGCTTATCAGGACACCAAGTATTTCTGTGTTCCTGAGATAGGTCTGAAATTTTTACCCAGTATTGAATGTATACCTGAAGTGGTCAAATAATACTCCTTATAAAAATTTTTCTACCTAAGATTATAGTTTTAATTTTAAATAAGAATGGCCACAAATCAACATGCAAACATTCTCAGACTACACACTGAGAAATTCTTCATACAATGCATTTACCACCTTATTGCATTTTTAAAATCTTTATTCTGTAGTGAATTGGTATTCCCAATCTGCCTAAGCAAAGGCATGCCCTTCTAACAAAATTTGCTTAGAGCAGAGGTGATAAAAGGAAGAATCCGAAGACCCTTTGGCCTGGCAATTTGGGAGTAGCACACTGCTGCTGGAGTCCAAGTGAGCAAATTTCACACAATTCATTTAGTCACAAGTGGGCTTGCTGCTCCCTTTTCATCCAGGAAAATGCTACTCACAGACCCAGAGTCTGGAATTAGAACCCTCATTTTAAGGTATTCTTCCAAACAAATAAATATCTACATATTGAAAGGGGGCATATCAGAAAACTTAAAAGACACAATAACCAAAACCAAAACCCTCTTCAAAACAAACAAACAATGTCTGTATTTAGTTCACCCTAAAACATTCTTATCTTTTCTTGCGGCTTGCTCCTAATAGATTTGATTTTATTGGGCACAATAGGAACTAAATTATTAAAAGCTTATTTTTATGTTTTGCTGTGGATAATTTATACAAAACGTTTCCAGAGACTTGACATTAGATGGATCTTTTAAGGTGAAAGAATGCCAGGTTCTATTGAAATATGATCTCAAAGGAACAAAGAGTCATCTGCCATGTGCTTTTTCTAAGTGCCCATGCTGGAAAAAAATTTCTCAATTATATGAAGATGCTGGTACAACTTTTCCTATTACACAATTTCTTTCACAACCACATGCGTTACATTTATAGACAGATTTACAATTTGAAAGGACAAAAAGTTCTGTCTTAATAATAAAATTAGTTTTTTTTACAAACTGTAGTCCAACCAAAGTTCTCTGTCCCCTCACGCAGCAGAGGCGTTATCTCCATTAGGTGTGTGTGGTCCAGGAAAACACTTCCAAGCAGATTCTGCCAGATCTGGTTCAGTCCATGATGTAGACTCTGCTTGGAGCACCACACTAACTTTAGGGTCATTACAGATCCGATGCCTTGATCATCTGCTTTTTTTTTTTTTTTTTTTTTTTAAATTCATTCATCTTCATCATCCTCATCTTCCTCTCCATCAGACAGGGATGTACAGGGCCGGATCTGTCGGTAGCGGTCAAGCCATTTTTCTACCATTTGAGTAACCAGGGGATGATTTCGCCGCCGAGAGCTCTTTTGCATGGCAACCAGAACTCCCCCCTCTGTCACACAGCAGTCCAGCCACTCCCTGAGCAGTTTCTCTTGCTGTTCCTCGTTACCTAGCTTTTGGAGGAATATGAACACAAAAGGAAAATCATACAACAGATCAGAGACTTGGTAGGAATGTGACATGGTATGCTAACTAATAATGAAAAGGCCAAAGCAATCAAGTTTTCACACAGTTTCTGACTCTTAGAAATTTTATGATTAAAGTCCAGTTTGCTCTGGTTACATTTAAAACGACATCAATGGGAAAATTTTCAGAAAATACTAAAGAGCACACTAGAGGGTAATTTATTTGATAAAATAACAAAAAGCAAATGTCCTAGTAAACTGATCCTGGCAAGCTACAGCTTCAAACACATGACAAGGTAAGTTTACTCAGTCAATTATGTACAGGGTGAAATTATACAAGTTATGGTCTATGAACTTTTTTTCTTTATGTTGTGATTATAAACGTTTTATAATAATTACTAGTATATGAAATAAAAGACCAATACTTTTATAAGAATGCTGGCTTTCTGAAAGAGCGTTGTTTTGTACATTCTCACCACCTCCCATCTGGTCTACACCCTTTCACTCCCCTGCATGTACAATAGCTTTACCTGGTATTCCTGCTCCTGCCACTGCACGAAAGCCCCAAGTTCCTCTTCTGGGTAAACTGACCATTGGCTTGCCACATTATCCAGAGTAAAACCCAAAGCTTTAAAAGGCCTTCGATGAACTCCACCCCACCCTTATCATCTCTGACCTCTTCTTCCTCCATCCCCTGGCCCCTACCCTCTCTTTCCCTGTTGCTTGACCCTTTTAAACTGGACTTGCAATTCTTAGAACTCTGCTTTCAGATAAAAACTCACTTCTCATTCCCTCATCTTTTTTTCTTAACACCCATCACCACCTGAGGGAAGTTCCTTAAGTTCCTTGATGTCTCCCCATACAGCAGTTTTGAAAAGGTAAAAAGTACAGCTGAAATCTTCAGAAATTTCTATAATAACATTCAGAAATTAAGTGGTAGTGCAGGTAAAACCACACCTGAAAGACACTTCAGGCTGTTTCTGGTACAAGGTACTAGAAACATGCTGCTTACCTCCTGAGCAGAAAGAAAGTGCACATGGAGTAGCTTCCTTTCACTGTCAACCAGAGGCAAAAATGTGATGGTGACATCATCATCAGTATTCAGATTAGCACCAGCACCTCGGTTGCCATAACCGTCATTTTCCATGGCAACCAAAGCAGAGAAGTGGCCCCTTGTATACCCCAGAGCAATCGGACTTTTCCAACAAAAACTCTGTTCCCACAACAAAGGCAGATAAACACCTAGAAAAAGAGGGAAGAAAATCCCAACAGTCACAGGAAGAAAGAGCTGCTCCTTCCCTCACTGCCCTTGTTTACATTCCCGTCTACTGCTCCTTCCTGGCATCTGAGCCACTCTGATCCTGCTCACCAGTTAATACTTACACATGTGGCTGCCAACATTAGAAGACTTGTAAAATGCTCCTGAATAATGGCTTACCTTGAAACCGAGTATATCCTAAAGTTTCTCCCCGGAAACTCTTGTAGTATTTTACTCCATAAACTATAATTGGTCGTCTAAGAATATGTGCCAGTACAAAAATGTGTGTCTGCTCCAAGCTTGCTCCAGGCTACACAAAACAAAACAAAAATTTAAAACATTTATTACCACTCCTGGAAAACTGATGTGTAAAAAACAGTACTACCTCCCCTTCAATACACTATCACAGTTTATTTTTAAGAAAAAAAAAAAAAAAGTCAAAGCAGCATTTGATTCCTCAAATAATAAATCCAATAAAACTGTAAAGGAAATCTACAAAGGCCACATGCAAATATCATTTACCATCCAAACTACAAATTATATAGATGTGCATACATAATTCTGAAATAACCCTCGCCACCCAGCCTCACTACTATCCAATCTCAGGAACCAGAGATTCAGATAGCTAAGGATGCTTCATAATCACATTCTGGTTAAGCTACTGTGAAAGCGCTACCTACAACAAAGTCCTCCTGAAATGAAAAAGTGACCTTGTTTCATGCAAACGTAAATACTAAATATTAAATGGGTCCATCTTCGAGCTACAACCCATGGTGTGAGGTACATGTCTCATATAAATCAACCACTGTGAATCCTGCCCAAATGGCCCAAAGACCAGGTACCTACTTCTCTAAGTTCAAATGAATCATAGTGCTTTCTGGAAAGAAAATGAATCGTTATAAATATATATTTGTACTTTACAGTTTGGTATACTGAAGTGCTTCACAAAACCAAGCATGAAACCAAGAGTCTAAGGGACAAGCCTACACAGTTCCATGTTACAAGAAGCTTTCATTAATTAAAAGGTGTTAGCAAACCTGGAAAAATTCATTCCCACATGAATGGAGAGCAATCCCAAGACTATCTACTGTGTGTGACCTTCTGATGGTTTTTAATCATTCGACATAAAACACACATTACTCTCCCTGTTCTGCAGTGAGGGCTTGCTATGGTCAACTATACTTGCTATGGTATTTATTTTGATACATGACTAGAACCCAAGTTGACTGATACAGAGTCAGGCATTCTTTTCTTTGTACCCACATTGCCTCCAACATGGTTTGCTCAAATAAATCAATTTAGACTACATGGTTTACTTTTCTCATAGAAGCAACAAAACTTGAAGCATCCTCACCTGACTAGCAAGAGAGAGTATAAATGCCCAGTCTTCTTGCCACTGTTCTTCCCTCAAGGAAAAATGTAAACCAAAGCTCTGAGAATACCATGATTCCCAATCTTTCCAGCGTGTGTAAAACCTAAAAAAACAAGATAGTAAAAAAATAAGCCTTCTTATAAGGATATAAAATATTTATATATATATAAAACTTCTTATATAGATACAAAACATTTAAAGTTCTGATCATTTTTATTTAATGTAGTCTTTAAGCAGTTTGCGAGGCAATTAATCATTTGATTTTGCCTGGGTGATAACGGGTTTTTCAAATGAAAAATGCCTCCCTCTTCCACTAGCAGATACCTTATAACATCCTTTAACATCTTTCGCCAGAATTTACTTTACCAACAACCAAATTTTCGAACTTCAAACACTAACAATGAGACCGGTTATCTTCAACTAGTTAGTTTACACACAAAAAAAAAAAACTCATCTGAAATGTTGGATACAAGACACGACATTTCTCTATCAATATATAGAGTATACCACCTGCAATCACTTGTGTAAACAATAGATGGGAAATATTCCATGTCTTCATAATATTAAGATCAATCATTTTTATCTGATGATCACCTAATGATTCAAAAACAACCCAAAAAACCCCACTGCAATGACAGAAAACATGCCTTCTTTATGCTTAACCTGAATCACTGAAAACGATTCTTCGTCTATCATGTGTAAAAATTAAATTCAGAAATAATTATGCTAGTAATTACATTTCACTGTCTTATAAAAACAAGCCAACTAAGACCTCTAAAATGAAGACATCTTTAATCTGTTTATAACATCACATTTCTCTCCTATACATTTGAATTCTAGGTAAAAGAAACAAAAGACAAGGAAATCTGTTGTGTTGTTAAAAAGTTCTAGCATATTAAAGTTAAACGTGAACAGGTATGGTAGCTCACACCTGTAAAATTATAGCACTTTGGGAGGCTGAAGAGGGAGAACTGCCTGAGGCCCAGAATTCAAAAACCTGGCCAACATAGTGAGACCCCATCTCTATTTAAAAAAAAACAAAAGTTAAATGTGTTGGTGTCACATGTAACTTTGCAGTAATTTAATGAAGGACTCCTTAGAAAATAAATATATTTTCCAAAGAAATTAAATTATAATGTTCCAGGGGTTTAACTCAGTTGATTTTAAAACATTTTTCATACTCCAGGTAACTAAGGATGTTTAATCATAATTCCAAATGTTTTAAAATTAAAATATGTATATTCCTCTTTTACAATAGCTAAAATAGACAGAAATGTGTTTGAATATTTTGACAACAGTGATGAAATACGTTGTTTTGAAAAGTTCAAGGAGAAATATCAAACAGATAAATTGTTAACATAGTGAAAGTTGTATGCAGTTCAGAAATTTCTTGATTAGTGCCTAAAATCATTTTATAAATGAGACAGCTAAGTTAGCCAGAAATTCAATGATGATTGCACTCAAAACTCTCCAAAGACCGCTGAAGAAGAGAGTCCAATAAAAGTTTTTCTTTCTTTCCTTCTTTCTTTCTTTCTTTCTTGACTGAGGACTTTCACCGTGTCACCCAGGCTGGAATGCAGTGTATGATCTTGGCTCACTGCAATCTCCACCTCCCAGGTTCAAGCGAATTCTCTCCTGCCTCAGCCTCCTGAGCAGCTGGGACTACAGGCGTGCGCCACCACCCCCAACTAATTTTTGTATTTTTTAGTAGAAACGGGGTTTCACCATATTGGACAGGCTGGTCTCGAACTCCTGGACCCCGTGATTCACTTGCCTCAGCCTCCCAAAGTGCTGGGATTGCAAGCGTGAACCACCATGCCCAGCCTAAAATATACTTTAAACATGTTAAAACATTCATCCTCACCATTTTAAGACCTAAACTCTGAAACTACCAGGGTCTCCATAAGAACAGACAAGCAAACCAAATCCAGCAATATATGACCAAATGGTACACGAATACAAGTTTGGTTTCACATTCAAAATTCAATTCCATGTTCATGGGTTGGAAGGCTCAATATTGTCAAGCTGGCAATACCATCACCACCCCAATTAATACACGGATTCAATGCAATCCCAATCCAAATCCCAGCTGTCTTTACAAAAACTGATGGGCTGGATCCTAAAATTTATATGGAAATCCAAAGGACTTAAAATAGTCAAAATTACCTTGAACTATAAACCAACAGGCAAAGCTCCGCTGTGGCAGGGACTGGAGGAGGTGGTGCCAAGCACCACACCGTTCTGGGACACCTGTCCATATCCCAGCCCCAGGTGCTCACTCCTGAAGCATCTTTTGAGAGTGAGGACTGCGGACTAAAAGTTCTGCTGCAATAACTCTTACCAGTGGTTACTGTTAACAGCCTGTAAACAGCCTAGTTCCTTCTTACTCTAGTAGCCATTCCCTATCCAGCCTATTTACTACATCACGCTCTATTTCTCCCCCACCGCCTTTTTTTTTTTTTTTTTTTTTTTTTTTTAAGCCTGTGGTCACCTACGTTGGAGTGCAGTGGCATGATCTTGGCTCACTGCAGCCTTGACCTTCCAGGCTCAAACGATCCTTCCACCTCTGCCTCCGAAGTAGCTGGAACTACAGGCACACACTACCACGCCTGGCTAAATTTTGTATTTTTTGGTAGAGACAGGGTTTTGCTATGTTGTCCAAGCTGGTCTTAAACTCCTAGGCTCAAGAGATCCGCCCACAGTCTCCCTATCTCTGTGCTAGACTTTTGGGACCTCAAATGACTCACAACCATCTGAGAATTCCAGTCCATACAAACATGAGTGACAACTCAGACTCATATGATCACCCACAGCCAGCTCTAAGGAACAGGTGGGCATAAACTCCAAAGCAATTCTTACTCACCACAAATGTATTTTTTTTTTTTTTTTTTTTTTTTAAAAAAAAAAAGGCCCGTGCAGTAGCTCACACCTGTAATCTCAGCACTTTCGGAGGCTAAGGCAGGAGGAACTCTTGAGCCTAGAAGTTCAAGACCAGGCTGGGCAATATAGTGAGATCTCAACCTCTACAGAAAAATTTAAAAATTAGCCACATGTGGTAGCACACTCCTGTGGTCCCAGCTACTCCTAGGAGGCTGAGGTGGGAGCATCACCTGGGCCGAGAAGGTGGAGGATGCAGTAAGCCAAGATCATGCCCCTGCACTCCAGCCTGAGTGACAGAGCAAGACCCTTTCTCGAAAAACAAACAAAAACAACAACAACAAAAACCCTCACAACTAGCAAAAAAAAAAGACACCACCTCTAAAATTCACAATGTACTTTCAGCCTTTCAATAGATCAGGAAATTTTCAAAGAAAGGGCCAGGCGCGGTGGCTCACACCTATAATCCTAGCACTTTGGGAAGCCAAAGAGGGCAGACGGACTGCCTGAGCTCAGGAGTTCAAGACAAGCCTGAGCAACATGGCAAAACCCCATTTCTACTAAAAATACAAAAAATTAGAGGGGTATGGTGACACCATTTGCAACCCCAGCTACTCGGGAGGCTGAGGCACAAGAATTGTTTGAACCTGGGAGGCAGAGGTTGCAGTGAGCCGAGATCGTGCCACTGTACTCTGGCCTGGATGACAGAGTATGACTCTGTCTCAAAAAGAAAAAAAAAAAACAGAATATTACCACCAAAGAAAAGATTACAGGATGCCTTTTTAGCGGGTACCTGCAAAGTGGTAGCTTTACCACAGTTCAAACCTGGCTTTCCATCTTACAGGGCAGAGTCATCACCAAAACTTCAAGGCAGACCTGTGAAACAACATTGCCAAGAGCCCACTGTCTTAGGAACCAAACCATGCTCATCCTCTTGACACAGGCAGGCCCATAGCAGTGGACATGTAAATCAGCAGCAGCAAGCTGCTTGGTAACCACAAGACCTGATCAAGAGGGCCAGACAGAGCACTGACCACCATCAGGCTTACCTAGCCCGATGAACCCACTTCAAGCTACCAGACCAATCTATGGCAGCCATCTCCACTAACGGGCACAAAAAGCCCTCTCTCCTGGACAATGACTAATTGGCTGAACCATCTACCTGAGTGACACATTCTTTCTTCAGCTTTATTACACATCCAATCAGGTTACCATCCAGGAAGCTATTTTATTTCTCTGATGTGCCCACAAATTGTTACTCTATTACGTTATGCTTTTTTCTCCTCCCTCCCACCCAAGGCAGAGTCTCACTCTGTCACCCAGGCTGGAGTGCTGTGGCACGATCTTGGCTCACTGCATCCTCCTCCTCCTCCTCCTCCTGCATTTAAGCAATTCTCATATCTCAGCTTCCCTAACAGCTGGGATTACAGGCATGAGCCAACCTGCCTGGCTAATTTTTACATTTAGTAGAGACAGGGTTTGACCAAGTTGGCCAGCTTTGTCTTGAACTCCTGTCCTCAAATGATCTGCCTGCCTCAGCCTCCCAAAGCACTGGGACTGCAGGCATGAGCCACACACCCAGCCATACTGTGTTATGCTTTAATCTACAATTTTGCTCTCAAGAAAGTAATTTATAGGCCGGGCTCAGTGGCTCATGCCTATCCTATAATCCCAGCACTTTGGGAGGCCAAGGTGGGCAGACTGCCTGAGATCAGGAGTTCGAGACCAGCCTGGCCAATATGGTGAAACCCTGTCTCTACTAAAAATACAAAAAATTAGCCAGGCAGGGTGTTGCATGCCTGTAGTCCCAGCTACTTGGGAGGCTGAGGTAGGAGAATCGCTTGAGCCTGGGAGGTGGAGGTTACAGCGAGCTGAGATCATGCCGCCGCACTCCAGTCTGGGCGACACAGCAAGACTTCGTCTCAAAGAAAGAGGGACAGAGAGGGGAGGAGAGGGGGAGGGGGACGGGAGGAGAGGAGGAGGGAAGGGCAGGGAGAGAAAAAGAAAAAGTAACTTACATTGTTCTCATTTCCAAATTCTAGAGAGTGCTTTCATTCAGTAACGTAAGTATTTCCTGAGCACCTACTGTATGTCAGGCTATTCTAAGTACTGGATCTTCCACAACAAAACAAAACAAAATCCCTGTTCTCATGAACTTTATAATGTTACTTATGTAAGCCCTAAATACTGAAAAGAAAATTTACAACTGTTAAGTGCTCAAAAATGACATAAAGGGCCAGGCACAGTGGCTCACACCTATAATCCCACCACTTTGGGAGGCTGTTAAGTGCTCAAAAATGACATAAAGGGCCAGGCACGGTGGATCACTTGAGGTCAGGAGTTCGAGACCAGCTTGGCCAACATGGCTAAACCTCATCAATACGAAAACTACAAAAATCAGCTGGACATGGTGGCAGGCACCTGTAATCCCAGCTACTTGGGACACTGAGGCAGGAGAATTGCTTGAACCTGGGAAGGCAGAAGCTACAGGGAGCCATCACACCACTGCACTCCAGCCTGGGCAACAGAGCAAGACTCTGTCTCAAAAAATAAAAATAAAAAGACATAAAGATACTAGGGTAATAAAGTTCTCTAGAGTAGGGTTTTTAGCATTATTTGTAAGCATTCAATTAGATAAAGGAGAAAAAACACATATTGATGTAGGGAAAACTGTACGACTTTTTACATGGCTTCTGCTAGTTACTAACTTCAACAATAGGCAATTTAGCCTCTTTGAGCCTTATAAAATAACTAAATGAGATAATGTTCAAAGAAGCAAGAAAATACCACGGAAGTCAAATAAATGTAGAGACTGAACTATCCATTCACAGAAACAATGATTTTTCCAGTGTCTGGATGCAGGTAAAATATATCTATATAAAGAACACTTTGAGACAACCGAAGAAATATGATTATGAACTGTTAGATAACTGAATCAATGTTGAATTACTTAGATGTAGTAATGGGGATGTGGGTGAGCAGGAGAATATTCTTGTTCTGGAAAGATACATATTGATATTTTGAAGGGTAAAGCATCATGATGTCTACAATGAACTGATCCAGCAGTCTTTCTATATGGTGACACGGAGCAGGTGTGGCAAAATGTTAACAGCTGCTCAACTGAATGAAGAAAATACTGGGATCCATTGCACTGAATTTCTTTAAAATTATTATATGAGTTTAAAATTTGCAAAATAAAAAATGTGATCTTAAGACTCCCTCAGGAAGGAAAAAAACTTGTAACACAATGTCAAGATAATCTCTTAGTTGAACACAAATATTAAATAAGGCTGGGTGTGGCAGCTCAGGCCTGTCATCCCAGCACTTTGGGAGCCTCAGGCAGGTGGATCACTTGAGATCACGATATCAAAGCCAGCCTGGGCAACATGGCAAAACCCCATCTCTACCAAAAATGATAAAAGTAGCCAGGCATGGTGATGAGCACCTGAAGTTCCAGCTAATCAGGGGGCTAAGGTGGAAGGATGGCTTGAGTACAGGAGGTGAGGGATGCAGTGAGCCAAGATTCCACCACTGCACTCCAGCCCAGCGACTAAGCCGGACCCCGACTGAGCCAGACCCTGTCTCCATCGAGGGATCAATCAATCAATCCGAAAGATCTTATCAATACTTACGGCTACTATAACTTGAAATGCTGAATTTGAAATGTTCAAATACACTGCTTCTGTTTTATAGAAACAATAAATGCTTGCATTTTAAAGCTTCAAATGTTTCTATTTTAAAATTTAGCAAAAAAAGGTACAAAAACCATTGATTCTTGCTTTTATCGTGTTTCTTGAGGGAAAAACAAAAACAAAAACCACGGACATGTTCAACATATTTTAATGTCCAAAATGAACCGTTTTTCCTCTAGTTTCCATATAAAATATAACTGACATGAAAAGTATTCCACGACTACAGGAAATGATCCAGCAAACGCACTCCTGGTTTGAAACAGGGAAGAATGCCAGCTCACCAATGTGAACAGTCATGCAGGCTGTCATGCAGGGCTTTCCGAAGCACCGAGTCCTTGTCATAAATGCCCCAGGTAGCCTGTAGTACTGAATCAAGTAGGCAGTCTCCTGCAGTCCGATTCCAAAGTGCATACAGTCGACTGTCCAAACGTGTAGCCAATTCCAAGGACCAGTTAATAATTGGAGATTCTTCTTCTAATTCTGTACGATGAATTTAAATACATGTTCATTTCCATACCTATGTCATTGGAGAATATTCATGGGGAGAAGAACCTATTTTCTAGATATAAAATGGTTTATATGCAATTTACCAATAAACACCTAAATAAAAACTGACCAATTGAAATACAAACTTTTGAGTACTGGAAACATCTTCTGCCTCTAGAATAATTTAATCAACTTTTAAATTCTTTATAGTATGATCTTCTAAAAAGTGTTTAATATAGAAATACAAATTCTGGAACAGGAGGCGGAAACCCAGGTTTTGAAATTTTTGTTATCTTTATTTGTGCACTCTGTGACAGTGAACAATACAATGTAACACTGAAATTCAGGACTCTGTATCTTTAAACCAGCCAGGCGAGGTGGCTCATGCCTGTAATCTTAGCACTTTGGGAGGCTGAGGTGGGTGTACTGCCTGAGCTCAGGAGTTCGAGACCAGCCTGGGCAACACGGTGAAATCCCATCTCTACTAAAATACAAAAAATAAGCTGGGTGTAGCGGCATGCACCTGAAGTCTTAGTTACTCGGGAGGTTGAGGCAGAAGAACTGCTAGAACCCAGGAGGCAGAGGTTTCGGTGAGCCAAGATCGCACCACTGTACTACAACCTGAGTAACACAGCGAGACTCTGTCTCAATCAATGAATCAGTCAATAAACAAACAAACAAACCAAGCTGACCATACACCAAACTTTACCATATCTTATTAAACAAAACTTACTTGATCAGAAAAAGGTAAATTGTACTCATTAATTCCATGTTTACCTTTTTGAACGTCTCTATCAAGCACCTCATCAAATAATTTTTCTTGGACTGTTGGAGGCAAATCTTCAATATCTACAAAGAAAAAGCCAACTTAAAAGATCTTTTGTTTCATAACTTATATTTGATATTAGCATTTACTAGTAACTTCCTCTAAAATAACTCCCTTTCCATCGAAGGTTATCAGATAGCTTTTTCTTAATATACAAGTATAATGTGAGTTGTATAAAATATTTCTTTTCTGGGCCAGGTGCAGTGACTCACACCTATAATTCCAGCACTTTGGGAGGCTGAGGTCAGCAGAATGCTTGAACTCAGGATTCTGAGACCTGCCTGGGCAACACGGCAAAACCCTATCTCTACAAAAAATATACAAAAATGAATCACATGAGGTGGCAGATGCCTGTAGTTACAGCTACTCAGAAGACGATGGTGAGAGAACTGCTGGAGCCTGGCGAGGTCAAGACTACAGTGAGCTATGATCTTGCCACTGCACTGCAGCCTGGGTAGTAGAGTGAGACCCCATCTCAAAAAAAACAATCTGATCATTCTGGGGTAAGCTTAAATACAGAATGAGTGCATTTCGAACGAAATTTCCTCCAATTTCAGAAAACTTAATTATTATTTCCTACAAGTTGTAAACGCCCATTTATGTCAGAATATAAAAATTAAAACCACTCAGATCTAGGCTGAGTAACACTGCAAGACTCCATCTCTACAAAAAATTTTTAAATTAGCCAGGCGTGGGGGGCATACACCTACAGTCCTAGCTACTCAGGAGGCCAAGCCAGAAGGATCACTTGAGCCCAGAAGTTGGGAGGATGCAGTGTGCTATCATCATGCCACTGCACTCCAGCCTGGGCAACAGAGCAAGACTCTATTTCAATTTAAAAAAAAAAAAAAAAACAGATCTCAGATGAAAGATTTTAGAAACTTCTGGTGTTTGGTACTAACCAAACACCAATTGACAAAATGCCAAACATCAATGCCAGCTGACAAAAAGCATTCTGAAAGCCATCTTCAACTGTCAATGAATTGAAACATGAAAAGTTGCTTAACAAATACAGTAGAAATAAATACAATGAATAAAAAAAGGGATGACATGTTCAAGAGAATGGAGTATGTTCAACTGAAATATCATAGCTCTACCCATCAAAAGCTCATGTTCTAAACCCATTTAATACCAGGTTATCAATATAGCTATCTAATTTCAAAATAACATACAACCATGAAAAGGGAAAATTTTTCAAAGGAGATTTTTTTAAAGATATTCTAAAATAAAACCAAAGAGAAAATAAAAAACAGATTTTCAAAAAATAAGCTGAGGTCCACAAAGAAATCCATTACTATCAACTGCTGTATTCCTCTCAGATAACTAAAGAATTTACTAACAAGTAGCTTTCTATATGGTCACTTCCAGCATAAATAGGACAGTCAAGTAATTTAAAATGCACATATAGTAGCTATGTTATGTGCCTTCTAACAAAAACATTTTTCACCCATATACACAAATATAATAAAATTAAAAAATATTTTTACATTAGATTTTGGAGTTACCTGCTGGCAACGTAAATGTTACAAGGTCAGTCAGAAAATAGCAAGCAAAATCCCCCTTTCTCTGATGAAGAGAGGCAGCGATCTCTCTCCGGATTTGTTCTGTCAGTTCAGGACACACCATTGCTGGAATACACTTTGCTGCTTGTTGAGACACCTTAAATACAAAACAAACTTTCCTCTCATCTCATGTATTATAAATAGAAGCAGAAAACAACAGTATTTCAAAGAAATCAGCAAAATTTCCCAATAATTCAAGGTTTTATTTAATCTTAAAATACATTGGGTTTTATTTCCTTATCAATGAAAGTACGTATCAGTACAACTTTTCAAAAAGTGATAAAAATAATTTAACCTCTGATTCAGTCTTTCTATTTAAGAATTTATCGCAAGGAAATACTCAAAGATGCACATAAAAATTTATGGAAAAGGGTGTTGTCCATAGACATATCACAGGAAGAGGGAGGGCAGAAAACCTAAGTAGACTAATCATCATGTACCCAATAAAAACATCTTTTAACAGCTCACAAAGAAAGAGAAAACTGCAAACATTCTTCTCCTACAAGCTTCAAGTACCCTAGTTTGGACTAAAAAAAAAGAGCATGGTATTTAAAGGGTTACTTCCCACTGCCCTCAAGCCTTTTCTTCCTCTCCATTTGTTACCACTCTGAGTTTTTTAAAAAGCATTTGGCATCTTCAACTTTAAACACAGACTGCCAACATCTGAAGCTCGGCCTGACAGGAGTGAGATGGGAGCACTACTGCACAGGCCTCTAAGCAAGAAACAACAAACCAAGGAAGACTAGAACTTTTCTTCTTTTTTTTTATTTTTTTTCTTCTTTTTAAAATGCTAAATAGCAACAAATGTTGCAAAGATTTAATTTAACCTTATATTTCAGTCATATCCAGTTTGTGAAGCTAAATAAAACTATGTACACAAAATTCTAAAATCATAGTTGAGCATCTGTGAAAATACAACGAGGCCAAGCACAGTGGTTCATGCCTGTGATCCCACCAACTCTGGGAGGCTGAGGTGAGTGGATTGCCTCAACTCAGCAGATCGCAACCAGCCTGGCCAACATGACGAAACTCTCTCTCTACTAAAAATACTACTACAAAAATTAGCTGGGAGTGGTGGAGTGCACCTGTAGTCTCAGCTACTTGGGAGGCAGAGGCATGAGAATAGCTTGAACCCAAGAGGAGAAGTTGAAGTAAGCCGAGATCGTGCCACAGCACTCCAGCCTGGGCAACAGAGTGAGACTCTGCCTCAAAAAAAAATAAATAAAAAATAAAAAATAAAAAATGGTGCAAACCCAGAGTGAGCCTGTTCCCAGACATCACCAACCTGGACAACCATCCTCCCAAGGGTAAGTGGGGTCTGAAGAGCAACAGGTCTTCCAGCTGCTGCTGCTGCTTCTCAAAAAGTAAGGTTTACTGATAATGTTACCTACATAATATATGTGGACAACTAACTGCAATTGCCATTAAAAGAAATAGTGTTTCAAAAACTCCGCATACCCAACAGTCACCTGACTCCCTATTTCAAAACTCCGGCCTGGCCCAGTGGCTCACACCTGTAATCCCAGCACTGCATGAGGCCAAAGCAGGAGGATCACTTGAGTTCTGGAATTCAAGACCAGCCTGGACAACATAATGAAACTCTGCCTCTATCCAAAAAGGAAAAAAAAAAAAAATACATTTATATATATACACGCACATATGCTAGGCATGGTGGCATGCACAGTAGTCCCAGCTACTAGGGGGGCTGAGAGGTGGGAGGATCACTTGAGCCAGAGAGATCAAGGCTGCAGTGAGCTGTGATCACACCCCTGGGCAACAGAGAGAAACCTTATGTCAAAGGAAAAGAAATAAAGGACCAGCCTGGCCAACATAGCAAAACCCCAACTCCACTAAAAAATACAAAAATTAGCTGGATGTGGTGGCACACGCCTATAGTCCTAGCTATTTGGGGGACTGAGGCAGGAGAATCACTTGAACCTGGGAAGTAGAGGTTGCAATGAGCCAACACCACACCATTGCACTCCAGCCTGGGTGACAGAATGAGACTTCATTTCAAAAGAAAAATAAAAACTCCTACATGAAAATTCAGTTATACTAGACTTTATTGGCCAAGGTTATCATTAACCATTAAAATTCTCACTACATCTTAAACTACATGAGTCCAACCATTAGTCAATGCTCAAACATGGAAAACCAAATTATGTATTTTCAGACTATAACCAACTATTTGTCAAGTAACACAGTTAAAATGGCTCCCCAAAGTAAATTCAAAAATCATTTATTCCAATCATCTAGCCCTCAGGCCCTTTCCAAAAACCTAGAAAGACCTTTCGAAAAACCACCTGGACTGGACCCTGAATACCACAAACATTCTAAAATAAACCTACCCTCCAAACAACCCCTTCCACCACCATCTTTAAGCAAGATGTGCCCGTGAAGCCTGCCACTCACCTCACCTTTTCAACTTTACGGTTCTCAACCATCTCCGTAGGCTGAGAGTTCTTAATTTAGGTTCCATGATCTTGGGAATGGTCCATGAACTTTAATGGGAATTTCATTTTAATTCAATTTAAATCCATTTTCCCCAACTTTCTGCCTATATTAAAATGTATTTTCTTATATATCACAAATTTAATTTAGTATTTTGGTAACTATTACTTCAATACAACTGATTTCCTGTGTAATCTTATTTACTTCTTATTTTATGTATTTAAAAACATTATTTTGGGAAGGAGTCCATAACTTTCACGAGACTACCAACGGGGTCCATGACACAGAATATGACATACATATCCCCCAACTCTAATGTTCTCCTGTTCTCATTCCAAAAGAACTTGGCTGAGCATTCTCTGTGACACACCCCCTTAGTCTAGAGTTAGTCCAGACTCCCCCACTTCTACTCTCCCTACTGGCCCCTTTAATTCTGACCTTTGGAGTATTTACTCCATGGAGACTGAATTCATTACCAATTTTTCTCTTAGCCCGGAACAAACCCCCTCCACCTCTCCCACACTGTTCTCCAGGGTTGCTCTACATGGCCCACCGAATATAGCAAAAGTAATGGTATGTTGCATCCTAAATCCATTTATAAAAGATACTGCAGGTATCAAAGACACTGGATCACTCTCTTGCACTCTGTTTCTCTCTTGGATCACTTGCTGGGGGTGAAACCAGCTGCCGTATCATGAGCATCCCTGTAAAAGGTCTGCACGCCAAGGAATTGAAGACTCCTGCCAAAAGCCACGTGAGTGGGCTTACGAACAGATCCCCGAGCCCCAGTTGAGTCTTTTGACAACTACAGCCTTGGACCGCTTGACACTGTAAGCCAAAACTATTCAGCTAAGCGGTTCCTGGATGCTAACCCTCACGATTTCTGTGAGATAACATACGTTTCTTGTCTCAGCTGCTAAGTTTCCAGATAATCTGTGATACTGCAATAAATATACTGCTGTTCTATTATCATCCCAGTGTTAGTCCTCAGATTGTTTTCAGGAGCTCAATGGCTCATGACGGCCCCTCTAATACCCTGTAATAATCTTCTACCTACCTGAAGGGAGCCCCTAAAGATTTTCACCCTAGTTCATAGCCACCTTCTTTATCCTGGCTCCTGTTACCACCAGCAAAGTACAACTCCACACTGACAGCCCTTCTAGTATACAACACACAACACGACTAGACACCATAACACAAATGCAGCCAGGCCTTCGACACTAGAAAAACAACCTCTAACTCTTCCATCTCATGTTCCAAAACTTGGATCCCTCTACCTGAAAAGCGCCCTTCTCCCTTATACTCAGTAAGCCTGCACTTTTGTCTTCATCATGGCCTTCAGTCTCTCAAGCCCCCACCCCAGCTTCAACGGAATCCTACCAAATTGTACACGATGGTTAGCTACTACAATCATGTTTCCATCTAACCTTCAAATGTTTTAATCCCTATACATTGCCCTGTAATGGTTCGAACTTGCCAAATAATGGCAAATTTGAATAAACAAATATGCAAACAGGTATACAAAAGATGTATACTGACAAAATTTGAATCTACAACTAATATGACTCTCCGCATTTTTACTCTATTTCTCTTGTCATTAAAAAAATATTACCCGGGCCAGGCGCAGTGGCTCATGGCTGTAATCCCTGCACTTTGGGAGGCCGAGGCGGGCAGATCACCTGAGGTCAGGAGTTTGAGACCAGCCTGGCCAACATGGTGAAACCCCATCTTTCTAAAAATACCAAATTAGCCAGGCTTGGTGGCGTGTGCCTATACTCCCAACTACTTGGGAGGCTGATGCAGGAGAATCACTTGAACCCAGGAGGCAGTGGGGGCAGTGAGCCAAGATCATGCCACTACACTACAGCCTCGGCAACAGAGCGAGACTCTGTCTTAAAAAATAAAAATTAAAAATTACCTGGATAATACAGTCACATCCTGAATAATTCATATGAAATATCTATCATTTGTAGCATGTACCTGGTTATCTAAGCCAGAAACCATTAGGTACACACTGTATCTTCCCATATCTAATCAATCTACTTCTTCAGACTGAGAAGTAGTCTCCCAAACCGCCTTCCCATTTCTATGGCTACTACCCTCCTGGCAGAGTTCTTGCCAGCACCTCTATAACCCCTCCTAACCCTCTCCAGTGTGCAGCAGCCAAAACGCAATCTGCTCTGCTCACTCCCCTACACCTGTACATAACACCATTCAGTGCCCTAGGAATACTCTTCAAATTCCTTGACACAGAAGATCCTTCATAATCCAGCCTCTGCTTATCTTTCACACTTACCTTCTCTCTGTTCTCAATCACCATCTCAGCCATGCTGAGTTACCTGCAAGTCCCTGGATTCACCACAAATTCCACCATCTCTGCCCCCTGTAAAAATGCTTTCCTCAACCTCCCTTGTTTCCCTCATCCACTTCATATGGCTAACTCCCAACTCCTCCCCTTCAAAATGTAGCAAAAACATTACCTGCTATAAGAAAGAAGACAAGACACCTTTCAAAACTCTTTGCGTATTGCCACAGCACTTGGCATTTACAACTACCAGGGCACATGCTGCACAGAATTACCTGTTCATTTCTCTACTTTTCTGGAGATGCAATGAAGGAAGAGCCAATGTCTTTACAATTCTATCCCTTTTCAGCCCAGTGCATGGCACATAGTAAATACTCAATAAATATTTGTTAACTGAATGACTAACGAATGAATGACAGACACATCCCAGGCTTGTTTGAACCAAATATAGTAAGTTAAAACATTGCTGTGACTATTTAAATATTTGAAAGTATATACCCTTAAAAATTATATACTGTTGAAGTCTCTTAAGTTTAATGTTATTTTTTAAAGGGGGTAAAAGAATTCAAAACATTTTAAAACTGCTTGGAGAAACATTATAAAATCAAAAATGAAATCTAAATAACAGATTTCCTTAATATAAAAGAACATTTAACCAAAATACCACACTCACCTCTGTAAGCAATATTGCTAGCATATCCTGCCTCTGAAAACGTATAGCCAAGTGTACAAGAGTATAGCCAACGTCAAAGGCAGAAGGACGGTTCAGCAAGCGTACTTCGTCTGCGGTGAGCTGGCGTGCAATGTCTCCTCCTGATGATTTGTATGCTTCTATGGCAGCTAAATCACCTTCTACAACCCCTAAAACAAGCAGCAAGATAGAAAAGCATTTAATCATAATTTTCTTCAAAGAGCACAAACCTGAAGTAATCACTCCAAACTCTTTAAGTGCTTCTGTGCCTCCCGGATCCTGACGCATCATTTAAATGTCCTAAAGAATAAGAAAAATTAGTTTTTTCCTTTCCCTTTAAAAATTTTCCTTCCAGAACTAGAACTGCCTAGACACTTACCTTACCATCAGTACAGGCTCCAGTCTCTGGTGGGATTTAGAGGAACTTTTAGACTGTATGAACTGGATCGAAGATCAATAATCTAGTACAAGAAACCATACGTCACAAGAGACACTGAGTCCCTGGTTCTGGTCCTGCATTCATTCTGACTCTGCAGAAACTAAGGAGACAAGGATATGCTCCGGCTGGTGTTGAGCTCCTCCTGCCCCTTACACTGCATTCTTAAAACAAATGTTGAGGCTTCCATACTGCTCTTTAGCTTAGAAACAACTTAGAGCAACTGAAACCATCTTCGCTGTAAGTAAACACTGGCAACATTTTGATTTCAGACTCTCTTATAGCCAAGTCTTCCTTAAACCCATTAAGAATTATTAATAAAGTAAAAATTGAACCAGATGATTTCAAAGAAAATATGCTAAAATAAAACATTTCAATTCAGTTAGAATAGGAGGAAAATACAAATATCACTTCTGCCCAAATCTATAATGAACTCCATTATCACTGAACCATTCTATTAATCTCAACACAAATTAATGTTAGGTAAATGTAGTAATACTATCTACTAAGCAGTCTGGAAAGTACAGGTATTAATCAGCCTTGGGGGAAAAAAAGTGTAGATTAGTTTCCAGTTTACCATAAATTGTGTTTAAAACAATTTTAAAATAATTATTTGTGGGACCAAATACTTTTAAGTGTTTCCTAAGTTACATCAAGACAAATGTGTTTGCTGGGTAGAATAATAATACTAGGTAAAAATATTCTTAGTGTATTATTTTAATTGCCATCTTGAATTAGGAATTAGATAAGACGTATTTCTTAGAATGCAACAGATTGGTAAAATGCAACAATTTCCTACCATTAGTAAAGATAACAAGGCTTCAAAGTAATTCCTACATTTACTGAATCCTCATGATATACAGAACACCATGCCAGGCAAATGAGAAATACAAAGACAGTGAAAATGTGACTCCAATATTCAAAACAGTCCTTTTAAAATTACATTTGTGAGCCATAAAAGGCCAGCTTCAAAAGTTTTCAAACCCTATGGTCATAGGTCCTTCCTGCAAATTTAGATCCTCTCCTCACAAAAATGACCCCCTGCCCCCAACATAGACATATACATTCTTCAGGTTGAAAACCCATGATATTAAGGAATGCCTTCTTATAGGAATTCTTATCTTCAAAGGTTGATGATATATTCCTCACTATGTATATACAAGTTCAGCTACAAATGCCCTGTCTCCATCCATCTTATTCTTCTAAGGAACAGTGCCCTAGAGAAGTCAGGGCTAAAGCTTAATCAAGGATGGCATGAGATAAGGGCTATAAATCTTTCCAAAAGGGCAAGACTTTAAAATAGACCAGAATGTGCTACTTGAACTAAAAACAAATCTACGGCTGAAGAGTTTTCTATTTCCAATTATTATGTTCAAATACAAAAAAAAACTCTAAAACTTCTGCTTATTTAATGAACAATTAAGTATAATCTGATAGGGCCCGTAACTTTTCAGATAATTCAGTGCAGTTGAAGACAGCATGCCCATGCCATCTCCTTTTACTTCGCAGCATTTCTGTATGAAGGCAGTGACTTTTCCCTTCAGTCCTATCAAAGCCCTTAACTATTTTCGGGTATATGTAGCAGCAATGCACCTTTTATAGTCTTCAGTTTTAACCTAAAAATACAACTACTTATAAAATGTTTTGTGTTACATAAAAAATGTTCCAATCACTTCCAAAAAAACAACCCAAGAGTCTGATCAATTTACCTGAAAAAGCAAAGAGGAAGATCTGTACAATTTATGTGTGTGTGTGTGTGTGTATATATATATATATATATATGTGTGTGTGTGTATGCCTTTATGTAGGTGTTTATGTAAGTTCATGTTCATTTTTTATTTCCCAAAGACTAAGACAAGGTAATCTAAAGCTAAGCGCTAAATAACTTCCTTCTTTTGATTGAAGTAGGGGAGGTCTTCGAATCACTTTATTATTTTTACCTAACGCACCATATAGCTGAAGTTTAGAAATAATCTCATTTTAGAAATTCTTAAGATTTCCTCTCTAATGTCTCAGAGAGATTTCTGTAATTAGAAGTTAATGAGCACGGCGGGGGGGGGAGGGGGCACAGACTAGCACAACAAAATTAGCAAAATGTACTTTGGAACTATAATGTACAATAATATCACCCATTCTGTTTTCATTAAGCGCTTTTTAAAAATATATCCAGAACTTTAAATGTTGGCTTACATGGTATGTGAATTATATATCAATAAAGCTGATACATAAAAATACAACTAGGATTTCTATTTGACATAATACAACATTATCAAAAACATTTAATTACTCCCGACAACTCCATGCTCTACATTAAACTGCAAACGGGCTTCCTGACCATTCCCCAACATGGAGGACATACAGAAGATGAGAACAGACTATTGCCAGTTCTAAGCACAAAATTCTCCAAATTTCCCAGAGCATGAAAAACACATATCACATAAGTATAGGTAAAAAATAATATTTAAAAGAAATTTTATTATCTACTGTTTGGAGAATATGTAATTTCATTCTTTTCATTAAGCATAATTACGAGCTTACAGTCTCAGTGACCAGTAAATTTTCAGCTACAAAGATTAGTAAATTTATTACAAATCAAATTTCAGGAAAATATCGCTGAACTGTCCCCATTTTTGCTATGTCTTTATTGCACACTGCTCAAAGAGAACTTCAGGAAGTTTCGACAGTTACCTCACAGACGGTTACTTCGTACAGCAGAAACACTTTTGCTGTAGACATGGTGTTTAACAGAATTTGGCCCATACACATAAAGTTTTAGCCACCACATATTTTCTACTTAGGGAGCAGGGAAAAACCATCATAATTAACATGCAAAAAAAAAAAACTTACAATTATGAAATATCTGAGTTCTTCACATAATTGTATTTTGAGCACCTTTTAATGTCAGGGGATAAAAAGAAAGTAGAAATAAGGTAGGAGAGTTGGTAGACAGGAAGAGACAACAAATAAATGCAAGTGTTAAAAACCTCACTTTATAGGACAAAGGCCAGGAAAAAAAATTAAAAGTTCCAAGAGAAGATAACATATTACTGACATCTCACAACGCCTCCAAAAATAATTGAAGCTTTTTTTTTTTTTTTTTTTTTTTGAGATGGAGTCTTGCTCTGTTACCCAGGCTGGAGTGCAGTGGCATGATCTCGGCTCACTGCAACCTCCACTTCCCAGGTTCAAGCAAGTCTTCTGTCTCAGCCTCCTAACTTGGAACTACAGGCGCACGCCACCACACCCAGCTAATTTTTGTATTTTTAGTAAAGTCAGGGGGTTTCACCATATTGGTCAGGCTGGTCTCGAACTCCTGACCTCATGTAATCCATCTCCCTCGGCCTCCCACAGTGCTGGGATTACAGGCATAAGCCACAGCACCCAGCCAAAGCATCTTTCTCTTAATACTTTTTTTTTTTTTTAATTTAACAAACGTGTATTACGCCTTCTGTTCCTTCCTTCTTCATGTTATGAAGGCAAATAAAAGGACAGCTAAAGCCACTCTGAGATTAACTTTATAAAACTAATCTGCAGTATCATCATACATTCAAAATTGAATGAAACGTACCATTAGCCTCATAGCGAAACATAATCACAGATAAAGTGTAAATATGCTTCTTAAAACATGAAGGCCTAAAAATAAATGAAAGCTACTTTATTAAATATTACTAAACAGCTAAAAAATAAAAATAAAAAACAAACGTATTATTCTGTAATCTGGGCCAGGAGTAGAGTTTAAATATTTTGAAGCCACAGGTCAACAACTCACTGGGGACTTCACAGCTACTATGGAACTCCATTGGTTAGAATTTAGAGCTGGCTCATAGATGTTTAGAAAACAGACTTATTTTTTCCCCCATACATGGCACAGTTTTCAAAGTTTTGCCTTATTTTCCTTTATGACATAAAATTGTAATGGTTACTAACTTTGAAAAGAATGCCAAATGGTAAAAAAAAAGCCAGGACTTACCTGAGCCCACATGGGCCAGCCCCACACTACCCTGGAGTTCTATGGTAGCTGTGACATCACAGCATGGTTTATGCTGTGGGGTCAGGGTGGACCTGGAGTCAGCTGGCACAATTTCAGGAACCCTTAAAGAGAAAAGTTAGTTTTAAGTGGTAATGTTCAGAATGTCCTTTACCATGGTAAGAGAAAGATGCAGATGTGGTTTCCTCTAGCCAGGGTTTAACTCATTCAATTGGTTTTTATATCACAAGCATTTGGCTATAGTTTAATCCTGAACCTGGCTTAGAAATTCAGAGCAAACTCTTTCAAAAATAACGAGCTACTTTTTCAATAAAATGACTTCAATATTTTTTAAAGTGTACCCTCAAGTAGGCAAAAGCAGAGGAACAATCTCAAAAATAATTTGAGCGGGCCAAACCACCTCCTAGTTGCATTTTCCACATAATAACAGCAACAAGCTAAGATCTACTATTTCTAGTCCTAGAACAGTGCTACAAAACAATAACTTACTCAAAAAATCAACGGATGAAAATCAAAATCATAAACAAATTCTTAAATTTCATCTATATTAATATCAAGACTAGCTTCTATTCAATAATCTCACTGTCCATTTCTAAAATATCCTCTTTAGAAAAATAAAAGATTCAATGAGATAAAGTCAAATAGTCACTAATTAAAGCTTTTAAAATTATCTGTAAGTTATGACAAACCATGTCAAATGTCATCTATACTACTGAGCTCTTTCTTCCTTGTATCTTTGATCAGGGTGTTAACAACCCACTCTTGTGGAAATATAAGTCTCCGAAGTCATGAAAAAATACCTAACCTAAACATATATCTTCATAAAAAAGGAGATTCTGTCAAGCAGGAAGAATTACTGCTTAAAGTATTACAGAAGGACTTAAAGGAAAGTTATCTTTGCGACAAGTGATCAGAGACAGAGACGTTAATGGGCTAAAACAGATTAACATGAGTTCAAATTACGAAGGTCACTTAAAATATCACTGAAATACTCAACTGAAAGGAAATTACAGTTCTTAAAAGTCTTAGGTTCCAAAAGTACATTTTGAAACTCATAAAATAATGTATGCCAAAACCACATTTACCACTGAAATTATGTCCAAAAGTCTTTCTGACTTCAAAATAAAAATTTCATTTGCCACACTGCCAAGTTACCCTGACTGAATTTGAAATCAAGTTTTTTTTTTTTTTTTTTTTTTTTTTTTTTTTTGGGAGACTGAGTCTTGCTCTGTCACCAGGCTGGAGTGAGGTGGTGCAGTCTCAGCTCACTGCAACCTCCACCTCCCGGATTCAAGCAATTCTCCTGCCTCAGCCTCCCGAGTAGCTGGGACTACTGGCGTGTGCCACCACACCCAGCTAATTTTTGTATTTTTTAGTAGAGACAGGGTTTCACCATGTTGGCGAGGATGGTCTTGAGCTCTTGACCTCGTGATCCACCCACCTTGGCCTCCCAAAGTGCTGGGATTATAGGCATGAGCCACCACGCCCAGTCTGAAATCAAATTTTAGATTTTTATAATTACACTATGATTATACTATCTCAGGTACGCCGGAGAAACTGAACAGTCTAGCCTACCTTCATTTACTAGAGAGTAAGTGAACATTTTAAAAATGGAAATGGGAGGCTGGGGTGCAGGGGGTCACACCTATAATCTCAGCACTTTGGGAGGCCAAGGTGGGAGAATCGCTTAGAGTCCAGGATTTCAAGACCAGCCTGAGCAAGATGGTGAGGTCTCATCTTTACAAAAAAATTTTTTTAATTATTCAGGCATGGTGATGTATGCCTATAGTCCCAGCTACTTGAGAGGATCACCTGAGCCCAGGAATTCAAGGCTGCAATGAGCTATGATCACACCACTGCACTCCAACCTGGGTGACAGAAAGAGACCCTGTCTCTATTAAAAAAAAAAAAAAAAAAAAAAGTGGAGGCAAGGAAGCAAGGATAAAAGGAAAAACTTTCATAATTTATTATAACTTTATCCTGTTCATATTATATACATTTAATTCTTCTAGACAAAAGCAGAATTAAGACAAAATCATCACATTGGAAGAAATATTCAAAAGTAACCTAGTCAATCTTAATAAGGTTTCCAACTAGACACACTAAACAAGAAAGTCCCTATAATTAGCTACTGCAAAAGAAAGTTCACAGCTTCAGTGAACACTCATAGTCCCAAAAGCATCCATTATCCCCAAAAATTTCAGACCCATGTATCCAATAATTCATTAGGCATCCTACCACAAAACATCTAGAAAAACCTAAACCTTCCGTCTCCTAGGTTCAGGAAAAATGATACTGTTATCCAACTCAGATGTACAAACCAAAAATCTGGCTTTCTAAACTCCTTCTCATCTCAGCCCAGTATCAATTTTTCCAACTTTTGCCAATTCTAACTGAAGTCTTTTTCAAATAAATCTTCCTTTCCCCATCTCCACTGACTCTACCCTAGCTGTACCTGACTATACCTAAGTTGCTATCATTAACTCTACTGGTCTGCCATCTCAAGTGTTGCCCCTTCCCAATCTATTCTCTACATTAGGGTGAGTGTGGTCTTCCTAAACTACAAATTTGATTAAGGCACTCCCTTCTCAAAAGTTTACCACTAGGCCGGGCACAGTGGCTCACACCTGCAATCCTAGCATGTTGGGAGCCCAACGCAGGCAGACTGCTTGAGCTCAGGGGTTCAAGACCAGCCTGGGCAAAATCCAACCTCTATAAAAAAACTTTAAAAATAAACTGCGCAGCCAGACACAGTGGCTCACGCCTGTAATCCCAGAACTTCAGGAGGCTGAGGCAGATGGATCACGGAGGTCAGGAGTTCAAGACCAGCCTGGCCAAGGTGGTGAACACCCTGTGTCTACGAAAAATACAAAAATTAGCCGGGTATAGTGGCGGGTGCCTGTAATCCCAGCTACCTGGGAGGCTGAGGCAGCAGAATTGCTTGAACCTGGGAGGCAGAGGTTGCAGTAAGATGAAATCATGCCACTGCACTCCAGCCTGGGCGACAGAGCAAGACTCTGTCTCATTAATTAATTAATTATTAATTAATTAAGCTTGGCATGCTGGCGTGCACATATAGTCCCAGCTACTTGGGAGGCTGAGGTGGGAGGATCCCTTGAGCCCAAGAAGTTTGAGGCAGCAGTAAGCCTCAGTGATCATGTCACTGGACTCCAGTCTGGGAGTCCTTAACCGGGTTAAGGAATTAACCTATTTAACCAGGTTAAATAGTCCCAACATTCCCTACAGGTTCTCTCTCACACTCCTCATTCTACATACACTCCAAGCAACTGATTTCTTTCAGGTTACTGAACATGCCTCAAACACCCTTCCTTCTTCTCAACAAAGTTTCGGCTTAGATGTCACCAAAAGTCATCTCCAAATCTCCTAGTGAGATTAGGTTATATGTTCCTTCTACAACCCTGTGCCTCCTCTTCTGAACTATGCGGGCTTGCTAAATTACATCTGCCCCCATAAACTCTTTGAGAGACATGACGTCTTTCAAAGTGCTTGGGAGCATACTCGGTGTATACCTGAATGCATGAATGAATGAACAAAGAAAAGGTAAAAGCTAAGACAATTTTTTGAAGTAATTGAGGCCGAGCACTGTGGCTCACCCCTGTAATCCCAGCACTTTGGGAGGCCAAGACCAAAAATGATTTTATATTGCCCAGACTGGGATTGGTACATGTTTTTAAGATGCATATTTTTAATAGAGATTTCATGTGACTTGATAAAATCACCAAAGAAAGTGAACAGAAGACATGAATCAGCAACTCACAGAAAAAAAATACAAATGATTAATGAGACAGCATGCCACTCTTAATAAACATCAGCAAAAACAGCTCCACAGGGACTCCCAAGCTGCTAATAATAAAGAACAGGTTAATTTAAGGTACAGCAACTCAATGTCATATTACACGTTCATTTTTAGAAGATAACATTTTGATTCCAAATATAAAGTTCAATGAAAAAGGATATACAATATAATCTTAACTACATAAAAGTAAATAAATGCAAAAAAAAAAAAAAAAAAAAAAAGACCAAATATAGACAAAAAAAATCTGACAGGCTTCCTCTGGGCAGTGAGATTATAAACTATTGTTATTTTTTCATAGTTTTTCTTATCTCAGAAATGGTCTACAATGCATATAGTCTGCTTTTTTTTTTTTTTGAGATGGGAGTTTTGCTCTTGTCATCTAGACTGGACTGCAGTGACATGATCATAGCTCACTGCAGCATCGAACCCTTGCCTCAAGCACTCCTCCCGCCTCAGCCTCACATATCTGGGACTCATGCACCCCGCCACCAATCCCAACTAAGTTTTTTATTTTTAGTAGAGAAGCAAGAGGTTCCGCTATGTTGCACATGCTAGTCTCAAGCAGTCTGCCTTTATTATTCAATAATGAACTAAACTCTCAAAGATCATTACAGGAAGTCAGTACAAAAGTCTAAATTTGACGAAACAGAAATGATATATTTCCATCAACTGATGAAAAGACAAACAAAATGTGGTATATACATACGATGAAATATTATTCAGTCTTAAAAAGGAAGGAAATTCTGGCCAGGTGCAGTGGCTCACGCCTGTAATCACAGTACTTTGGGAGGCTGAGGCAGACAAATCACTTCAGGTCAGGAGTTCTAGACCAGCCTGGTCAACATGGTGAAACCCCAACTCTACTAAAAATACAAAAATTAGATGGGCATGGTGGCACATGCCTGCAGTTCCAGCTACTTGAGAGGCTGAGGCAGGAAAATCACTTGAACCCAGGAAGGGGAGGTTGCAGTGAGCCCAGATTGCGCCACAGCCCTCCAGCCTGGGTGACAGAGTGAAACTTTCTCTCCGAAAAAAAAAGGGAAGGAGATTCTGACACAGACCACAACATGATGAACCTTAAAGACATTACACAAAGTGAAATAAGCAAAAGGACAGATACTGTCTGATTCCATTCATGAGGCATTAGAACAGTCAAATTCATTGACAGAAAGCAGAATGAGGGCTGTCAGGTCTGGAGGAAGGAGGAATGGAGCTATTTAAAGGATACAGAGTTTCAATTCTGCAAGATGAAAAAAGCTCTAGAGAGAATGGTAGAAATAGTTACACAACAATAAGAATGTACTTAAAGCTACCAATATACACTTAATGAGTAAAATGGTATATTTTATCTTATGTATATTTTACATCAATTAAACTAAATTACAAAAAAATAAAAAAGGAACAATGATACAACATTATTCAGAGATATTGGAGGTGATGCCTCAAATAATATCACCTATATAGTATTCTCACTCCCCTAAAAATGATGTTTAAACTAAATCTAATCATAAGGAAACCCACAAATCTAAATTGAAGATCATTCTGCAAAAGTGGAATCTTCGAAAATGTCAATCATGAAAGAGTAAATTTTAAAAAAGCAAAGCAAAATCAGGCGCTGTTCTAGATTAGAGAAGACTGAATAGACAAAACAACTAAACATAACGTGTAATCCGTAACTGAATATGGTGGGAGCAACACCAATTACTAAAACTATTGGGTGAAACTAAATATAGACTTTCAGTATTAAATTTCTTAGATAATTATATTGTGTGGTTATGTAGGAAAAATGTCCTTGTTCTTAGGAAATACATGCTGAAATATTTAGGGGCAAAGTGTCATGATGTCCTCAGTTAACTCTCAAATGCTTCAGAGAATACACACGAGAAAGAGAGACATAGAGACAGAGACACCAAATATGGCAAAGAATTAACTGGAAAATCTAAGTCAAAGGCATGTGGTGTTCAATATATTATACTTGTAACCTTTATACAGGTTTTGAAATTTCTTAATATAAAAGAATGACAGGGGCCAGGCATGATGGTTCATGCCTGTAATCCGAGCACTTTGGGATGCCGAGTCGGGTGGATCACTTGAGGTCATGAGTTCGAGACTGGCCTGGCCCAGCATGGTGAAACCCCGTCTCTTCCAAAAAAATACAAAAATTAGCTGGGCATGGTGACAAGCTTGCCAATAGTCCCAGTATTTGGGAGGCTGAGGCACAAGAATCACTGGGATCTGGGAGGCAGAGGTGGCAGTTAGCCAAGATTGCGCCACTGCACTCCAGCCTGGATGACAGAGAAAGACTCCATCTCAAAATAAAATAAAATAAAATAAAATAAAATAAAATAAAAGTGAAAGGAAAAAATAGTCATCTGCACAGGAGGACTGGAGGTAAACAGAAGAAAAGAAGAATCTATTGCATTTCTGTCTTGCTTGGTTTGTTTTTTTTAACCATGTGCCCAGTTTAAGGCAACTTTTTCAAGTTAGATTCCAACAATTCTCTAGAGTCAAAACACATCCTTTTATACTTGATATTTAAAGGTTACATCTGGATTTCATAATTCAATGTGTTTGTTTAATTTAGTACTTTTTTTAAACGAAAGCCTTTACTAAATCAATGGTGCATATTCAAATGTCAGTATCACATAATCAAGAATCACACGACACAGTCCCTTTCGCAGCATAAAAAGGCACATTACTAGTTGGCAAGCCTGTATAATCAATCATTTCTGAAAGCCGAGAATTATGTCTCAGACATGCTAAAGGCAACCAAGAGAATACTGGGGCTTTATTTCTGCCATCCCCGCCTGTTTGCCTTAATAGAGACATTCATTCCTGGAAGCTTTCTTTTTTGTCACAGGTGTCAGGAAGTACTTTTAAATCCCAGATCAAACTGGCCAGCATCATTTAATAGTAGAAAGGAAAGACATGAAAAATATGTGTGTGCACAAGGCATGTGTGTTCCCTACAGATTAGAATATTTTATGTTGCTGGAAATTCTCATAATTCATTTAAAAATCATGACGTAAGGCCGGGCACAGTGGCTCACACCTGTAATCCCAGCACTTTGGGAGGCCAAGGTGGGCAGATCACCAGGTAAAGAGATCAAGATCATCCTGGCCAACATGGTGAAACCTCGTCTGTACTAATAATAAAAAAATTAACTGGGCATGGTGGTGTCTACCTGTAATACCAGCTACTTGGGTGGCTGAGGCAGGAGAAACGCTTGAACCTGGGAGGCAGATGTTGGCAGTGAGCCGAGATCATATCACTGTATTCCAGTCTGGTGACAGAGACATCATCAAAAAAAAAAAAAAAAAAAAAAAAAAACATGATATAAAATGTTGTTTTATATCCAGTGTTCCAAAATCAAAACAGGAAATCCTTAAAAACTTGAAAAACAGGACAAAAACTTCGACTTGAAGATAATACTTCTTTCATGGTACTAAAAATAACTCTATTACCCATATGAACCACCTTGGATAGGAAGTAAATCCACAATCAAGAATGTTTGTGGAGTGAAATGACATCGCAGTTTTCATAGCTACATACTCATCACAATTAAGAGTATCATGGAAAGTTAGCCAAGGGCATACATTGCTAGTATTCCAGCACTCACTTTCCTTTCATGGATACAGGCCAAAAATTGCGACACAAGTCTGTATACATTTTGGATATTATTAAAAGCTTTTAATGTGTCCAGGCATAGTGGCTCACACACCTGTAATCACAGCACTTTGGGAGGCCAAGGTCGCGGATCACCTGAGGTCAGAAAGTCAGACCAGCCTGGCCAACATGGTGAAACCCTGTCACTACTAAAAATACAAAAATTAGATGGGCACGGTGGTGCACATCTGAAATCCCAGTTACTAGAGAAGCTGAGGCAGGAGGATCACTTGAACCCAGGAGGTGGAGGTTGCAGTGAGCAGGGATTATACCACTGCACTCCAGCCTAGGCAACAGAGCAAGACCCTGTTTCAAAAAAAAAAATTAACGTCACATTTTTAACTCAAACCATTTTTGTGTTTTCTTTAATAAAAGGGCAATTAGATAGTTTTAAATGTTGAAAACTATTAATAAGATGCAAGACCTGTTTACTGGTTCTGCCCTCCATTCATATGTAAAACAATGTATTAAGAAAAAAGGGGCCAGGCACAGTGGCTCACGCCTGTTATCCCAGCACTTTGGGAGGCTGAAACGGGCAGATCACTTGAGCCCAGGAGTGTGAGACCAGCCTGGACAGCATGGTGAAACCCTACTTCTATAAAAAAAAGAAAAAAAAAAAAAAATACAGGAATTAGCTGGGTGTGGTGGTGTGCGCCTCTAAAGTGGGAGAATCGCTTGAGCCCGGGCATTCGAGGCTCCAGTGAGCTATGATTATGCCACTGCCTCCAGCGTGGGCAAGAGCAGAATCATGGCTCCAGAAAAACAGAAAGGGAAAAGAAAACAACAACAAAAAAAAGACACTAAATAGGAGAGTGTCTTTCAGCAGAACGCTAGTTTGGCATCAGTATACAACCGAAGTTCATAGCCCAGCACTTAAAAGTAACCATAATGGTGTACAACTTCACAAGCTTCCTCTCTAAACTCCCAGATGATAATCTTGAAAAATGACACATTAGAACATAGATCTGCAACTGAGCTACCAACACAGAAGTAGTGATGACTGCAAAGCAATCCGTAGAACAGGAAAAGTTCTAAACACTGAAAGATTGCCCAAAGAGCTTTGCAATACCAAGCCAAAAATAGGCCAACATGAGCAGAGCAAACAGAGCACACACTACAGAAACACCACTACAGGAACACTACAGAAAAAAATCAAGCTCAAATAATGTGGCCTAATCATGGAATGCTGCAAAATATTAGCAAGTGGTAGATTACCCTGGGCCACAGCAATCAGCTTCATATAAGCATATTTATTTTGCTGCCTTGAAAAAAGGCAGGACTAAAAACATTAATATTCCCAGGTATCAAACATAATTCAAAAGCTCCAGTAATAATCCCCAATCATATTTAGCAGAAAGAAACGTCGTTACCATTTGTGTCTTGGAAAGGACAGCTTCTTCCCATTCAGTAAATCAGCTCCTCTGTACCTCAACTTCTTTCATTATTAACAATGGCTCTGACTTCCTCTAGGAACTGGTGAAAATTAAGTAAAATTTTTCTGAAATTGTCAAATTAAGATATATTTGTTTAGGGCTGGGTGCAGTGGCTCATGCCTGTAATCCCAGCACTTTGGGAGGTTGAGGTGGGCAGGTCACCTGAGGTTAGGAGTTCAAGGCTAGCCTAGTCAACATGATGAAACCCTGTCTCTACTAAATGCACAAAAATTAGCCAGGCATGGTGGCGGGTGCCTGTAATCCCAGCTACTTGGGAAGCTGAGACAGGAGAATCACGTGAACTTGGAAAGCAGAGGTGCAGTGAGCCGAGACCATGCCATTCACAACAAGAGCAAAACTCCATCTCAAAAAGAAAAAAGATGTTCGGGCCGGGCGAGGTGGCTCAAGCCTGTAATTCCAGCACTGTGGGAGGCCGAGGCGGGTGGATCACGAGGTCAAGAGATCGAGACCATCCTGGTCAACATGGTGAAACCCCGTCTCTACTAAAAATACAAAAAATTAGCTGGGCATGGTGGTGCGTGCCTGTAATCCCAGCGACTCAGGAGGCTGCGGCAGGAGAATTGCCTGAACCTGGGAGGCGGAGGTTGCAGTGAGCCGAGATCGCGCCATTGCACTCCAGCCTGGGTAACAAGAGCGAAACTCTGTCTCAAGAAAAAAAATAAAAAATAAAAAAGATGTTCTTTAAAAAAAAAAAAAAAAAGCTATTTGTATTAATTTCTTATTGCTGCTCTAACAAATGATTACAACCTTAGTGACTTAAAACAACACAAACTTTCTGTCATACAATTCAGGTCAGAAGTTCAGCAAGGCTCTCACTGAGCTAAAATCAAAAGTGTTGGCAGAGCTGTGCTCCTTCATGAGCCTCTAGAAAAGCCTTGTCTTTTCTTCTAGAGGCTGCTGGCATTCCTTGCCTCATGCCCTGCAACTCTCTCAGGCCTTTCCTTCTCTTCTCATGGTCCCATCTGTAATCCTCACTCTCCTGTCTCCCCCTCTGATTTACAAGGACGCTTGTGATTATACCACCTACCCAGATAACCCTGCCATTGAAGCCATCTTTAATCACTTCTGTAGAGTCTCTTTTGCCACATAAGGTGGCATATCCACAAATCCTGGGGACTGGGATGCAGCCATGGGGAGGTGGGTTGTGGACATTATCCTGCCTGCCACTCTATTTATATCAATCATGTAAATCACCCAAAAAAGCCCAAGGAGGGCGTAGAGGGGGATAAACCTATAAGGATGTCAATGGGCAAGTTAAAAATGTAAATTTGGACACTGTAACTTATTAATAGTATGTTCTTATTTTTTTGTTTTTATTTTGCGGGGGGGGTGGAGGGGGGTGGTGGAGATGGAGTTTCACCCTGTTGTCCAGGCTGGAGTACAGTGGCATAATCTCGGCTCATTGCAACCTCTGCCTCCCGGGTCCAAGAGATTCTTCTGCCTCAGCCTCCCAAGTAGCTAGGATTACAGGAGCCCGCCACCACGCCCAGCTATTTTTGTATTTTTAGTAGAGACGGGGTTTCACCATGTTGGCCAGGCTGGTCTTGAACTCCTGACCTCAAGTAATCTGCCTACTACGGCCTCCCAACATGCTAGGATTACAGGTGTGAGCCACCGTGCCCGGCCAATAGTGTGTTTTTAAAAATAACGAATGTTTTGTGACTTCAGGTAAGTCATCAATAAAATATCCTTATGAATGAAATAATTTTTAAAGCTAAGGAGTAATGAACTAGAGAATAGAAGCCTCTTCCATTTTTTTTCTTCACAATCATTTGTATGCCCTGAGCTTTCTCTCAAGTTAAAAAGTCAGCCCAAAGATGTCTTAAATGGACAAAATCACCAATGTCCAATGCAAGGATTTCCTTTTCCGCTTTTGACATGGTAATTTTCTTGGTAATATAAATCACCTTACAATCATTCCAGTTCAAAGGAATATAATCTCTCAAAAACTAAATGACTTTTTCTTCACGGAAGTTACTTTAACTTTGTTTGTATTATTGCACAATCTCCCTTTCTTTTTTTTTTAAGACACAGGGTTTCACCATTGGCCAGGATGGTCTTGATCTCCTGACCTCGTGATCCGCCCGCCTCGGCCTCCCACAGTGCTGGGATTACAGGCGTGAGCCACCAACAATCTCCCTTTCATATTTCATTTCACCAGGCACATATTTCCAAAGTAGAAACTGTTTTTAAAAAATCATTATAGAAGATTACATTTTGCACAGTTTTGTTTCTCCAGAAGAAAAAATAATACTAATTTAATGATTTACTTCCTTGAGAATAACCTTTGACAAATTGTAAACGTCCATCTATATACATAATTCTTAACATTAATACCAAAACAAATTGAAAATAACACTTTAAAATGTAATATGCCTACACTTTGCTATTTTTTGTCAAACAATGTGTGTTAGTAAAACCAAATGGACAAATACATTCTGACATATTTAATACCATGCAAGTTTTAAGACATAGTCTTGCTCTGTCACCCAGGCTGGGAATACAATGGCACAATAATGGCCCACTGCAGTGAGCTGTGATGGTACCACTGCACTCCAGCCTGGGCGACAGAGCAAGAGCTTATCTCAAAAAAAAGAAAAAAGTATGTGCGTGTGTGTGTGTGTGTGTGTGTGTGTGTGTGTATACAGTTTCAATGTGAACTTGTTACTTAAGTTTCCTTCTTCTTCCCCTATGCCTTAGACAGCCCCAACCAAATCTCAGCTCCTTCCCATCTTCGTTAGCAGGAGCACTGGACAAGGTAAACTTAAGAAAGATGCAACTATTGTTGAGGAAGTGAGACCAAATGCCAACTAGGAAGCAGTAGGTCCAACAACAACTGAATAAATATTTCAAGTAAAAATCTCATTTGATAGTTATACCAAACACATAGAATGATTTTTTAAAAAGCAAATATTGCCATGAGTGCAAGTAGGAAGGTAGAGAAATTAAATATACAGAAACCTGACTTTAGACTTTTCATATCCATAGACTGCCCAGTGATAAACCGAAGCCTCTACTGTAAGACCTCTACTGTAAGCCTTTCCTGTAAGACCCTTTCATACCTAATACCTACCTCAGACTTCCTGACAACCAGTGAGAAGTAGAACTGGCTCTCCTGGGTTGGGCCCCAACTACTGAAAAATACAGAAAGCTAGGAAGCAGGCAAAGAATCCAGAAATTCATAGGAGTAGGATAAAGGTTTGTCCAAACCCCAGTTCCCAAAAATACTCATGTGTTCACTGATATAAAAATACTTGAGTGCCTAGTATGTATGTAGCAGGCACTGTTCTAAGATAGAGCTTTGAACAAAAGAGGTAAAATTCCTGGCCCTCAGGAAGCTTAAACTCTGGAGTAGAGAGAGACAAACAATAAACAAGATGACTAAGCATATTAGAAGGTGACAAGTCTTATAAAGAAAATTAATGCTGTGGGGAGGGATAAAGGACAGGAATGAAATCCTAGATACAGCGGTCATGGAAGACCTCACTGAGAAGGCAACGCTTGAGAAAAGTGAAGGTGGAAAGCAATTTGGGCAAAAAAAACAGCAAGTAAAAGGCTTCAGGCTTGTTTATAGAATAAAAAGGTAGCAAGAGTGGCTGGAATAAAATGGAAAAGGTGGAAAACAGATTAGTTCAGAGATAAACAGCATACATTTGACCCCTGAACAACAAGGGGAGTAGGGGGACCAACCTCCCACACAGTAGAAAATCCATGTATAACCTTTGACTCCCCCAAAACTACTGATAGCCTACAGCTGACCGGAAGCCTTACTAATAGCATAGTCAAATAATACAAATTTGTATATGTATTATACACTGTATTCTTGTCATACATTAGAAAAAAGAAAATGCTAAGAAAATCATAAGGAAGATAAGATACATTTACTAACTCATTAAGTGGTCTTCATCCTCATCGTCCTCACCTTGAATAGGCTGAGGAGGAGGAGGAAGAAGAGGGGTTGGTCTTGCTGTCTCAGGGGTGGCAGAGTTGGTAGAAAACTTATGTATAGTGGACCCACACAGTTCAGACCTGTGCTGTTTAAGGGTCAAAACTACGTGGAGGCAAGTTGAAATGAGCAATACAAAGCATGTAGATGACCTTGTGGAGTTTTTGAGGGACTCTAGCTTTTAAGCCAAGTAAAAGAGGCAGTCAATCACTAGAGGGTTCTGAGCAGAGTTTTTAAAAACAAAACCAGCAGCTCCTCTGTTGACAGTAGACAGTAAGGGAGAGCAAAAGCAAGGGGTAAGGGAGGGCAAAAGCAAGGGGGATCATGGTTTGGACAAAAATAGTGAGAAGTGGTCAGAGTCCAGATATATTTTGAAGGTAGAGCCAATGGATCTTCTGAGAAATAGAAGTGGGGCATAAGAGGAATCAAGGAGAAACAAGGCTTTTGACACAAGCAATGGAATCAGAAATTTGCCATCAACCAAGATGGGAGCCTGGGAAAAAATAGACTTGAAGGAGAGACCAGTTCTGTTTTAGCATCACTGAGCTTGAAATAAGCTTGAGTTATTAAACACTCCAGCAAAGATGTTGAATGGGCAGCTGGAGATATGAGTCTAAGGTTCAGGAATACAAGTTACAGCACAGATTTGATATGGTGTTCTTATCTAACCCTGTCTCTTTAAAGACACAACTATGTACACAAAATTGTCAAAGTGCAATTTCATAGGGCAACTGATTCAATACAATAGCAGAACAAAAGCAGGACATTAGGTAGTGTTGCTTTATTCTCCAGATACACTGTTGTCTACCCAGTGAGAAAAGCAGTCTACATTGAGTACTGACATGACCTCCCTAAAAACCCGATGTCCCTAAAAAAATCCAGCAGTAACTGCAAACACTCCAAAGACAACTGTACATTTACATTCACACCTCTACCTTTACCACCCTGATTCCCAATCTCAGGTTCCACTAATGATGTCAGGTTTCGGCACAGCTGTCCCCAGCATCCTCTGACCACATAAGATAATATGCACTTATGTGAAACTTACATACAACAGCCATGTTAATATGTTTGCTTAATACTGCTGATACCTTAGTTTACATCTGCCCTCTCAACAACTGAATCTTCCTCATTCCTAGTTTATCAGCTACAAAGCTGACCTGAAGTCCAAATTTTTTCCCAACTTTAAATGGAAAAAGTCTCACATTTTATACTCAGTGTACATACTTTAGAGATGGACTCTTCAAAAATCACTAACAACAATAAGTCAAGATACACTGTATCTAAAGAAATCTGGGAAGGGAAGTAAAGATTAATTTTGTTAGTCTTACTGCTCAAACCTTTTTTTTTATTTTTTAGTTAACCCAACACAATGTAAACAAGTTAAAAAAACGTGTTTAACATATTTCAGTGATGTTTACAAATCAGAATATGGCTGTCCCATAGAAACAGGCCTATAATTATAACCTTATGTATAACAGTTCAGAATGACATTGTACAGTTAACAGTAAAAAATGTTCGCTGATAGGAAAGACACAGTCCACGTTACCAAGAACCAAATACAATCAACCCATGGCCCTAAGAATCTAGAAACTTTGCAGGAAGAAACAGCAACTTAATGACAAATAGTTGTTTTTCGTTTTTTTGTTTCTGAGATGGAGTCTGGCTCTGTCGCCCAGGCAGGAGTGCAGTGGTGGGATCTCAGCTTACCACAACCTCCACCTCCGGGGTTCAAGTGATTCTCTTGCCTCAGCCTCCCAAGTAGCTGGGACTACAGGCGTGTGCCACCAAGCTGGGTTTTTTTTTGTACTTTTAGTAGAGACAGAGTTTCATCATGTTAGCCAGGATGATCTCGATCTCCACCTGCCACCCAAAATGCCCAGCCAACAAATAGTTTTGTAAATGAAACAAGGCTAAATCCAATACTGGTCCTATGGTAGAAGTTTTTGTTCCACTTTTAAATTGAAGTCATATTGATTAAAATGCAAAGGGGTGGCCAGGCGCAGTGGCTCATGCTTGTAGTCTCAGCACTCTGGGAGGCCGAGGCAGGTGGATCACGAGGGTCCAGAGTTCAAGACCAGCCTGGCCAAGATGGTGAAACCTCATCTCTACTAAAACTACAAAAATTAACCAGTCACGGTGGCAGACACCTGTAATCCCAGCTACTCGGGGGGCTGAGGCAGAGAACTGCTTGAACCCAGAAGGTTGCAGTGAGCCAAGATCACATCACTGCACTCCAGCCTGGGTGACAGCGAGACTGTCTTAAAAAAAAGCAAAGAGGTGGGCCAGGCCCAGTGGCTAACATCTGTAATCCCAGTACTCTAGGAAGCTGCAGGGGGTGGATCACTTGAGCCCAGGAGTTTCAGACCAGCCTGGGTAACAAGATGAAACCCTGTCTCTACAAAAAAAGAAAAAATACAAAAATTAGCCAGGCATGGTGGTATGTGCCTGTAGTCCCAGCTACTCGGGAGGCTGAGGTGGGAGCATAGCTTGAGCTGAAGAAGTCAAGGTTGCAGTGAGCCATGACTGGCTCACGTCAAGGCTCACTGCAGCTTTGACTGCACCACTGCTCTCCGGCCTGAGTGACAAAGCACAACTCTGTCTCAATAAATAAAATGCAAAGAGGTACAAAGATGGCTAGTCATCTAGTCAAAGGAAGTAAGGATATGTAGAAAAAGGCAGGACGAAGAAGGAATAATGTCATAAAGACAAACATGATTCATCAAACTCGTGTGTTTCAAGGAGAGAAAATATTTCACATCAGGTGTTCTTATCCTGAGATCCACTGATTTGAAGCAACTGGGGGCTGAAGTGAAACCCTGATTCCTAAAGGATTCTATGACCCCAAAAAAGGTTAAGCATCATCATGATGAAGGTTAGTTCATTTTCATCTGTAAACCTGCATGTACTATAACACCATCTTGTAGTCCAAGTATTCACAGTACACTATTCCCTGCAAAAAAATGATTTTAAGAGTGTTTCAAAGGCATATAAGCAATTAAAAGACAATCACACCCAACATCAAAGCTCATAGATATGTAAAGATTTTATTTATATGAATATCCAAAATAGGTAAATCCACAGACACCAAAAGCAGACTGATGGTTATCAAGGGTTGCAGGGTAGGGGTAGGGGGCAGTAACTGCTTAATGGGTACATAGTTGCCTTTTGGAATGATGAAAATGTTTTGGAACAACACAGAGGTAGTGGTTACACAATGTGAATGCACTAAATGCCAAACAAGTTGTTCACTTTCAAAACTGAATAGTTATGTTAAATGAATTTGATCTCAATAAGGAAACTAATAATAAAACCCTTTTGTATCTCCCGTTTAAATTTTTAAAACTGACAATCATACCCTATGTTGTCCCTCAATTTGGAGCAGAAAAATCAGTAGAATAAAATGGGACAACAGAGACAGCAGAAGATGGCTTGGTGTTTTCATCCCTCATCCTCGGATGGGAGGAAACTGGAAGTAAGCATTGCCAAATGCCTACTACGTCTGGAGGTCAGAAGGGTTCATCTGCTGAGATATTTTTTTGCCAGAACAAAGTTAAAATTGAATACTCAGGATTTCAGCTGGGCACAGCAGATTATACCTATAATCCCAACACTTTAGGAGGCTGAGGTGTGAAGATCGCTTGAGCCCAGGTGTTCAAGACCAGCCTGGGCCACATAGGGAGACGCCCATCTCTACAAATAATAGTTAAAAACAATAGCTGCGTATAGTGGTAAAATGCCTATAGTCCCAGCTACTGGGGAGGCTGAGGTGGCAGGTTCACTTGACCCCAGGAGGTTGAGGCTGCAGTGAGCAACCACTGCCCTCTAGCCTGGGTGACAGAATGGTGAAATCTCATGGTGGGGGAAGAAATTTATATAACATATTATATATACATATATATAATTTAATTTTAAAAACTCAAGATTTCTTGAAATCAATTCTTAGGACTCACGGGAGGTTCATACAGCTAAACCTTCCATATTCTTGGGCTGTACCCAGAGGGATAAATGAAAGAAACTGGTACTAAGGGGAAAACTACAGCTAAGTTTATAGTTAAGGCTCAGCTATTGTTCCACACAAAGTTTAGCCTTAGTAATCATTCAAAATTTCCCTTATAAAACCCAATGTCAAAGTAAGCAGCCCATCCAAATAATTTAATAAAAATCCACATCTAATCTACTCAAAAAAATACTGAAGACTCAAGTCACTGCTTTTGTGAATTACATCACAATTAACTCATGAGGTCAATAACTGAAGAAAACTCTGCACTCCTCTGTCTCTGTCCTGTAACAGCATTTCCTGAGGAAAATGTCACAAAACATAGGAACCATAACTTGAAGTATGGAATCAGCTGGCTACATGTAATCAGTTCCATAAAGTTTGCAAATATTTACTACATGACACTCATGTTAAAGTAACACCAGTATTTTCAAGGTCATCATTATGTTTGTCCGACTTCTTGGAGTCACACATTTTTGTGGTATTTTTAACATCTGACTAAAGCTTCGATCATCACAAGATGCTCACACTGTTTACAAATACTTGGAAACAGCAGCTGGTGTTCCTCAGTTACATCTTGTTACGATAAACAGAGTAGCAGTTTTAAAGTCCAGGTATATATTTTACTATCGATGTGTAAAAACTTTGCTTTAACTTAAAAGTTTCCCCTGCCCCCAGTAATGGAGAGACATAAACACAATTAATTGTGGGCAATTTAGCACAAAGTTATGACAAGATCACAAATACACAAATTTTTATGTATGCATACTTGAAAATACAACTATCATGTTGAATGAATTAGATGCTAAATACTGACCTTGCACATCATATATATTTTTGAAGCAGAGTCTCACTATGCTGCCCAAGCTAGAGTGCAGTTGCTACTCACAGGCTGATCATGGCATACTACAGCCTCAAACTGCTGGTCTCAAGCAAGTAGCTAAAACAGACATGTGTCAGCACACCCAGCTCTTCTTATATCATTTTTATCTTTTCCCATCCCATTCAAAAAAATGCAGAATACAGAAACTTACCCACACAAGCATTGAGGAATAGCCAATCAGTCTTTTTCATCCTGTTTTTAATTTGCTTTAGTTTTTTGAAGTCTACTTCAAGTTCCTCCTTGCTGCCGACAGCACCAGCCAATTCAATCCTCTGAAAATCCATTTTCACTTCAGAGTCCCGCTTCGTAGCAGGAGGTGATCTCCTTTGGCTATTACCACTACTGCAACTTCCCCTCCATCGAGCTCTGTCTTGCTCATTTATTATTGAAGAAGCCTCTTCAGTCTCTGCCAACTCTATTGCTTCAATGTTATTAGGTCTGGGATGATCACAAACAACACATCTTTTAGCCTTGGCCCAGTTTTCATATGTGCAAACAGAGCAAGTCCAGTGCTGTGTCCTAGCGTTCAGTTTATTTCTATCATTGTATTCCTCACAAGGATCAACAGAAAAAGCAACTGGTCTTGAGCCAGATCCTGAGGACTGAGGAGATTCTGTAGGACTCCTGGTCCTACGTTGGGATAAGCACTGGGTACATCTGATTGCTCTTGGCCAGTTCAAATATGTACACATGTGGCATGACCATTTATTTGCATTTTCCATGCTATATGAAGATTTAACCCTTGGTCTTGCACTCGAGTCTGGACATATCAAAGGACTACTTCCTCCTTCGGTGCTGGAAGGATCCCAATCTCTACCAACATCACTTGAACCACTTTTAAATGGATCTTCCGTAATAATTGTTCCACTAGGTCTTTGGGCACGACACATAGTACACTTGATTGCAGATGGCCAGTTTTCATACGTACAATATTCACAAGCCCACTTAATTCCACGTTCTGACATTGTGCACTCCTTGAAGTGAGTTGTGTCAGGCAGGAAGCTATAAATAATTAGGACACGGTTATTAAGATAACTACATTCCACTTCCAAAAATATGCTCCCCAAAAAGCATACCCTTCAACCTACAAAATATAAATTTCTCAAAAGATGTATGTAACATTTCAACATTGAATTATTCTAATTTTCTTTCTTGATTTCCATAGAAACACGAAATAAATTCCCAAAGAAAAAATCTTAGACCTTGGAATTTAATAAAATTGAACTTTGGAATGCAAAAGAGATAGGCAGGAGATAGAAGGAGGTTTGATCTAAGAAAGATGAAGATTAAAGGGAAGCCACTAATAGAAATGTTTAATTTCAGGGAAGCCATCATATCAATTTACAAAAGTAACTAATAGCTTATAATGAGTCAAAGGTAGAGGAAACAACGCAAAGTAAACAATAGCTTAAGCACATAACCATTCTCAAATTATGAAAAACATAGATTATGATTCATAAATACAGAAGATCAAACATCAATTCTATCATTCTTGCTAAGAGAGAAAAGCAGCTTAAAATGCTAATTATCCACTGTTCTTAATTAGCACAGGTAGTAAAGAAAGATGTCGAGAAGCAATGGCTACAATTAACAAAGTAACATTAAATAGATAGCTCCTTGATATCCTGTAGCCTCAAAATCTAGTTCTATCTAGAACACAAAAAGAAGACTGTACTTGGGAAAATTAAATCCATGGAAGGTCACTGAAAATAACTAGTAGCATAATCATTCCAATACCATTATGAATGTTTGTAATTAAAACATTTTAAATTTTGAATACTTAAAATATACTCAAAATCCAATTCATATTTAAAATATATTCACTATTTAAAAGGTTTCTAGGATTCAACAATGGGCTAACACTACACTATAATGAAGACTTCAAGATTCAATGTCAATTAATTGATAAATGAAGCAACTTATGTAGCACATTTAATGACTTTTTAAATGGCTTGAATTTAGACACTGGCCACTCTTATAACTCAGTAACATCCCAACACCTATTTTTCACCAAGAAAGAGAAAGAAATCCTAGACAGAGTATAGAAGCTTTTCTCTCTCTTTCTCAGGGATTTTTCCTGAATCTAGAGAGGTTAAATCTTTCACTTTTTTTTTTTTTTTTGAGACGGAGTCTTTGCTCTGTTGCCCAGGCTGAAGTGCAGTGGTACAATCTCAGCTCACTGTAACCTCTTCAAGTGATTCTCCTGCCTCTGCCGTCCGAATAGCTGGGATTACAGGTGCCTGCCACCATGCTAAGCTAATTTTTTCATTTTTAGTAAAGATGGAGTTTCACCATCCTTGCCAGGCTGGTCTTAAACTCCTGACCTCATGATCCACCCTCCTCGGCCTCCCAAAGTGCTGGGATTACAGGCGTGAGCTACAGTGCCCAGCCTAAATCTTTCACTTTTGAAGTATACTAAAATATATTCCAGACTGCCAAGTCCACACCCCATTCATAGTGTGAACTCTGCTAAGAAGAAAAAAAATCACTATAAGAAAGTATACTACTTATGATAGGTGGTGAAATAAATTTAAATTTTATTTTTTAAAAAGTATACTACTTAATAGCTAAAATAAAAACCACACTTACTAAGATTTTAGTTCCCACGCTATTACCTCCACCTTGCACATGATTAGAATAAAAGTACGGTTTGCAAATCAGATCGAAGACAAGATTCCGTCTTCATGCTGGCTCAGATTCTGACTTCCTCAGGAGATACTGCAAAACGTGATAAGTGATTCTGTCTGACTGTGAATAGCTATTCCTGTAAAGGAGACCAAAACTGAATTTCACTTGAAGCCTGCTACTTTAGCTAAAAGGTTTTTAAGGCTTTACTTTTATCAATTCTCTATTTTAATCCTACTCACTTATTTTAACAATGAACAACTGTATTTACAATTTTAACATTAACACAGCAATAAAATTAGCTAATCAATTGGGCTGGTCAGCCACATTAAACATGGATGAGACATATTTCTATATAACTTAATCCTGTGCTTGTGTACGCATGTCTAATATTACCATTAATTTGGAAGTGCTAAGTTAATTCCTACCTGTATTACTTCTATTACTAAAAGGGAAAAGACGGTATAATCCAAAAAAGTATAAAAAGCAAAATTGCTTATATTTAGCTATGAAACCTTCAGCAACTGCATTTTTCCCTGACCCAAGTAATATAAAATTATCTTGCTTAAATTTTTAAATTTCGTTTGTATACTGATTACTTACAACCTGATAGCAGCCCAAAATGTGTGGAAGCGCAGCGATCTATAATCATGTAAGCATCCAAAAAGTAGACAATACAGACGTAATGGCAATTTTCATACTCCTTAGGCAGCTTCTTTTAGTTTCTCAGGAATGAAATATAAGTAAGTTATTGCTCATGCTATTGGAAATGAAAATGAGCATGTAAATGAACATATATCCAGGTCTACTCTAAGTAATTTCAATATTTCCTCTAAAATATTCACATTCAAAAATCCATGCTTGTTTTAGTACTACAACTAAACAGCCCATAACCTTACATTACCTTAGTTAATCCTCATGTAACTAATGTACTGGCATAATATATTTAAATGTCCAGGCTGATTTCAAAAATAAACAAAAAACTGCTGTAAAAAATCATCACTGTCACCAGGCATGGTGGCTCATGCCTGTAATACCAGCACTTTGGGAGGCTGGGGCAGGCAGATCACAAGGTCAAGAGGCCAAGACCATCCTGGCCAACATGATGAAACCCTGTCTCTACTGAAAGTACAAAAATTAGCCGGGCATGGTGGGATGCACCTGTAATCCCAGCTACCTGGGGGGCTGAGGCAGGAGAATTGCTTGAACCCGGAAGGCTGAGACTGCAGTGAGCCGAGATTGCGCCACTGCACACCAGCCTGGTGACAGAGGTAGACTCCGTCTCAAAAATAACAGCAATCATTGTCATATGTGCCTGGTAAAATAATGGAGAGACAGCTGCCTAATTAGCCCACCACCTCTGAAAATCCAGATAACTAAGCAATACCAAAACCAAGATCAAGAGTTTTAAGAAATGCGCCTTATATTAGATGATAAGCACTGCGCTCAAGTCTGTAATCCTAGCACTTTGGGAGGACAAGGTGGGAGGATCACTAGAGCCCAGGATTCAAGACCAACCTGGACAATATAGCAAGATTATATCACTACAAAAAAGAAAAAACAAAATTTGTTGTTGAGACAGAGTCTCGCTCTGTCACCCAGGCTGGAGTGCACTGGCATGATCTCAACTCACTGCATCCTCCACCTCCCAGGTTTAATGATTCTCCTGCCTCAGACTCCCAAGTAGCTGGGACTACAGGCATATGCCACCACACCCAGCCAATTTTTGTATTTTTAGTAGAGACAGAGTTTCACCATGTTGGCCAGGCTGGTCTCAAATTCCTGACCTCAAGTGATCCACCTGCCTCTACGTCCCAAAGTGCTGGGATTATAGACATGAGCCACTATACCCAGCGCTCCCCCAAAAATGTTTTTAATCAGCCATGTGCAGTGGCCTGTGCATGTAGTTTCGACCACTCAGTAGGCCAAGAGAGGAGGACCATTTAAGCCCAGGAGTTGAAGGCTGCAGTGAGCTATGATTGTGTTACTGTACCTCAGTCGGGATGACAGAGTAAGACTGTCTTGAGGGAAAAAAAAAAAAATGGGTAATGATGTACAGTGTCCACTCTAAGAGAACCTGAAATGTTGCAGGAATGCTGTTTAGTAACTGCTAGCTAAAATTTATTGAAGAGCGGCTGAGTGTTCACGCCTATAATCCCAGCACAGGAGGCCTAGGTGGGTGGACTGCTTGAGTCCAAGAGTTTGAGACCAGCCTGGGCAACATGGCAAAACTCCCTCTTCAAAAAATACAAAAATTAGCCCAGGGTGGTGGCACATGCCTGTAGTCCCAGCTACTCAAGAGGCTGAGATAAGAGGATCACTTCAGCCCAGAGGGCTGAAGCGATAGTGAGCCATGAACACACTATTGCATTCAGAGACCTTGTCTCAAAAAGAGGAAAAGAAAAAATTCATTGAAGATTATCTGAGACAGCCATATCTACCTGTGGTAATTGGTAAATAGAATGGAAGAGTAAGGATAACATCAACTCAACTATGTGGGTTTTTTTTTTTTTACGATATTACTAAGAAACTAACAGAGTACACTTTTTCCAGATGTCAAAACATTCCAAAAAGTACATAAAATTATTTCCAAAGTAGCCAGCTCTAAAAGTTAACACTGTACCCTGAAATAAAACTTACTAAATATCACTTTAAGTGTTAAATATATTAATATAACCAAGTAAATTTAGTTTACAAATTTAACCATGCATGCAAAGCAGATTTGCAAATTCTATCCAAGGACTCAAACTTCAATTAATTGGTAAAATAAAACCACAGTAAAATCTACATTATCTGGTCCTTCTTTAAGGAGAACTGGACACAACTGCTACTCTTAAGACAAATATTCTTTGGATCAAGTGCAATACCAACAGTTCCCATCCTGTGGACCAAGGAGACCAGGAATCCATCTGTGCATCAAGCTCTGCCTGTAGAATGAATAATGTCTGTAAATATATCAACCATTTACTAGTATTAAATTTACTAGTACTAAATTCATAACTGTTTTTAATTATATATTTCCCAATTCAGATAATAATAAAAGTGTACAAGTATTATGGTGCATGTACTAATAATAGCAGGTGGAGGAAAGGGACCAGTAGTTGGAACACTTTCTATATTGCCACGTTGAATATTTACAAAGCATTACTAAACACTGTATAAGAATTATATCTATATTGAAGTGAATTCCTCAAAATTACAGCTATACTACAAACTTCCCCAACCACCTACTAAAAATCATAGAAAACTAAAGAAGTGAAATAGGGATCTGTCGGGGGGAAATAGGGGAGGGACGGGGGGGGCAGATGGGGAGAGATAGCATAGGGAGAAATGCCAGATATAGGTGATGGGGAGGAAGGCAGCAAATCATACTGCCATGTGTGTACCTATGCAACAATCTTGCATGTTCTTCACATGTACCCCACAACCTAAAATGCAATAAAAACAAAAAAGAATTGAAAAAAAAAAAGAAGTGAAATAATTCTCATTAAGAACAAACTCCAGAAACAAACTGAGATAAGCTCAATTGCTAGTAGTTTCAGATGATGAGAAGTTATACAAGGGAAGAACTAAAAGCAGCTTTAAGACATGCGTGGTGGCTCATGCCTGTAATCCCAGCATTTTGGAAGGCTGAGGTGCGCGGATTAAGAGGTCAAGAGATCAAGACCAGCCTGACCAACATGGTAAAACCTCATCTCTACTAAAAATACACACAAAAAATTAGCCAGGCATGGTGGTGCGCACCCATAATCCCAGCCTCTCAGGAGGCTGAAGCAGGAGAATCACTTGAACCCGGGAGGCAAAGGTTACAGTGAGCTGAGATTGTGCCACTGCACTCCAGCCTGGGTGACAGAGGGAGACTCTATCTCCCCCAAAAAAAAAAAAAAAAAAAAAAGGCAAAAAAGGCAGCCTTAAGGACTTTTATACAAATTTATACTTATTAGTATAAATATTTACTTACTGACATAAATCTGTGGAGATTTACAAATGCTCAGAGAGCACCTTAGGGGAATAAAGATAAAAGCTAAAACTAAAAATGGATATTTCAAGCATGCTAAATTTTCAGGCTTTTAAAATATTACAGAGCAATTCTGAATTATAAAATTTCTGTAAATAAAAAATTTTAAACTACTTAAGTCTCTTTTTTTTTTTTTTGAGACGGGAGTCTCACTGTTACCCAGGCTGGAGTGCAATGGCACGATCTTGGCTCACTGCAACCTCCACCTCCCAGGTTCAAGAAATTCTCCTGTCTCAGCCTCCGGAGTAGCTGGGACTACACTACAGGTACATACCACCACACCTGGCTAATTTTTGTATGTTTTTTAGTGGAGATGGGGTTTCATCATATTGGCCAGGCTGGTCTCAAACTCCTGACCTTGTGATCCACCTGCCTCGGCCTCCCCAAGTGCTGGGATTACAGGTATGAGCCATCACGCCTGGCCTAAACTACTAAAGTCTTAAGCCAAAAAAAAAAAAATCGTACAGAGTCATCTCCTCTTTTCTCATCAGTATATTCTATTCCTTCATCACTGTCTTCTTCACAATAATCAACAGGAAAAACAACTGGTCTAGGGCAGGATCATGAAGATGATATGGTAAACCCTTTATCTACAAATCTAACCTCATTTCAGTGCTCCAACAGGTTATCAAATCCTCATTAAACTCCTTATCTTCTTCTCACACCAAACTCCTATCTTGACTTCTCCGGTTTCCATTAACGGCACCATTAATACCTCTGCACCAGCAGAAAACTCAAGATCACCTTAAATTCTGCCTTCTTCCCACAGATTCTTCCTAGTGGTTTCTATCCAATTACTGTCTTCTCATTGCCATTGCCATCAATCCTTTTCCAGTTCAGGTCAGAACTACTATAAGCATCTTCCCTTTATAAATCCATCCAGCTGACTGATCCACAATTTTCTTTCTGAGGCTCTTCTCAGAAAGAGAAGTATGAACTCTCAACAACTTCCTGTCACAAACACACACCACAGGCTAACTCCCAAATATGCCACACATGCCCGACTCATGCATGTGCCACCACCTGCCAACAATATTCACATGAAGGTACTGCCTTAGATACAGAAGCACAACAGACACACTCATTTATAATGAATTCTACACATTCTTTAAGGCTCAGTTCCAGTCTCATCTTCATGAATTTTTCAGATCACTTCAAGTACACTCCAAGCAACCATACTTTTACTGACATTTGGCACTTTAACTATATTTTTCTCTTGGGGCTAGTTTTTGGAACACTAATTCATATATGTTTTTCCTATGTTACTCACTCCCTTCTTTTCCATCCCTCCCTTCAATTTTCAATCAAACAGCCAGGCTTTCAAAAACCCTGGCTCAGGGATTCCAGTGGCACAGAAGGTAGACCAGCACCTTGTGTTTAGTAAACCTAAGAACAGATCATGTTGAGAAAGAAGTGGACCTTATGAGTAATCTCAGAAGAAATTCTAGAGAGGATGGGATCAACTCCATGGGAGCAAACTGATCAGGTGGCAAGGCTTCAGTATAAAGTGTCTGCTAGGTATAAACTAGGTGCCAAGCCATAGGCACTAGGGCCCACAGTTGGTGGAAGAGCCACAGAACCTGAAGGAACCTTGTGGAGGGCAATGGAAGACAATACTATAACCAACACAGGCAAAATTTGAACCATATGACACCAAGCCTTACAATAACACAAGGAGAGGGGACCCCAAGGATGACTGAGGTTGAATTTCTTGCCAAAGAAGTAGAATTCAAATCAAGTTAAAGAAAGCAAATATGGTAAACATTTTTCTGAGTTTTCAGACTAAGATTCATGTTTGATACACTTGTTATGTGTTCCTTTATCCCTGACCATTTTATAAACGGAGCAAAACCCATTACATCCGTTTTTCCCTTGTTTTGTAACACACCAATTAGGTCCATACTTAAGTACAGCACTACATCAACAAATATCTAGAATATTACACAGCAAGTCATGACTTCTGCACCTTCCCATTCTAGCCCCATTAAAAATATATAACATGT